TTTAAACGGCCGTGATGTCGCGCCTGCATTTTATTTCCTTCTCGGGAGTTTTGGGCGGTGCACCACAAGCAAAACCGAACCCTAAACCCTAAACCCTAAACCCTAAACCCTAAACCCTAAACCCTAAACCCTAAACCCTAAACCCTAAACCCTAAACCCTAAACCCTAAACCCTAAACCCTCACCATGCGAAACCCAAGCAGTTCTCCATCTTGAGCCCGATGGTCCTGTGGCACCGAAGTCTGGCCTTCTCTAGTGGATTCACGGTTTAGGGTTTAGGGTTTAGGGTTTAGGGTTTGGGGTTTAGGGTTTAGGGTTTTAGGGTTTAGGGTTTAGGGTTTGGGGTTTAGGGTTTAGGGTTTAGGGTTTGGGGTTTAGGGTTTAGGGTTTTAGGGTTTAGGGTTTACCAGCGCCACACTTCGCTCACCTCGAAGCATCGTTCGGCTTTCGGCCCCGGCATGATGCACCGGATCTTCCCTGTTTCCGTAGGAACTCAGAACTGCACGTGAAGAGAATGCACCCAGCGACTCTTATGCGGCCGCAGCGGCTTGAGTCAAAATGGTTCAGGGTTTAGAGGGTTTAGGTTCAGGGGAACCCCAAAAACTCACCCCCCCCCCAATAAAAAAACACAGAATAACAATCATAATAGTAACAATAGTAATAAAACAAACAACAAACAAAGAACAAAAACGTGGGGGGCCCTACCCGTCTCTCAGCCGCGCTGCCGGAGAGCGAGATGCTAATCCAGCCCTGCTGGGGCCCGGTTCCTGCACTCTGGGGGCTTCAGGGTTTACTCTACTCCCCTTCGGCCTTCACAAAAAGAGTATTTTGAAAACACATCCTAGGTCCTAAGGGGGCTTTAACAAAAAACACATCCTAGGTCCTAAGGGGGCCATAGCTCAGGCTTTATCTTCTGACTGGTCCAGCTTGCTGAAGGCATACTTTTTGTGGGAGGTTTCTCTACGAACTCTACCTAAATGTTGCCAAAACAAAGGCTGACTGTTGCAAGCTGGAGTACAAAGCGTTTCTGCTGTGTATGGTTCGGGATGAACCTACTGTTGATCCCCTGAAATGGGTCGGGGGTTTTCAGGGCGGCAGAGGGTCTGCGAACCCTTTTTCACAAGGAACTCGAGTGCTGCCCTGATTGTCGCCCCGGCCCGCATATACGGACGGTAAATCCTCTCTCTAGCTGACTGGTCTTCGCACAGCCCCGGCACTGCCCAAAATTCTGAGATGGAGGTTGCAAGACCTTGAGCACTCTGTCTAAATCCCTTCGCCGTCCATCCTGAGCAGGCCAGCCGAATGTGAAATCTTTAGGATTGCTTTGGGCTTAGAAGGATCTTTTGGGGGGGTAATTTGGGGGTTTTGCTTGCCTTGTTGCTTGATTCAGGCTTAGGTCGTTTGGTGCGTCGCTTCAGTCAAGGGTCCCAGGGGTTTTCAGCCAAGCTCTCTCCCCCCCCCCCGTCCCGCGCCTTTCAACAACCCGTACTGGAGTCGCTGCCCTTTCAGCGCCAGCTGCTCGATGATGGCTCCCGTGCCTTCATTCTCAACTCTAAGCTGCCACGTGCGCCACACATGTCTCTGGATGAGGGCATCTGAGCCACAAATTCACACACTCCCTTACGGCCTTTGCGAACGCCGTAGACGTGAGTCGAACTGAAGCTTTCAGACTTTCTCAGCCCTAAACTCTGAACCCTGAAAGCCCAAAACCCTGAACCCTGAAAACCCTTTCTTGAACGATACCCTAAACCCTAAACCCCAAAACCCCAAAACCCCAAAACCCCAAAACCCCAAAACCCCAAAACCCCAAAACCCCAAAACCCCAAAACCCCAAAACCCCAAAACCCCAAAACCCCAACACCCCAACACCCCAAAACCCCAAAACCCCAAAACCCCAAAACCCCAAAAAAACCCCAAAACCCCAAAACCCCAAAACCCCAAAACCCCAAAACCCCAAAACCCCAAAACCCCAAAACCCTAAACCCAAAACCCCAAAACCCTAAACCCCTAAACCCTAAAAAGCAGGGCGCTCAGCCGATCCGGCAGCTGCGTGGAGGAGGTGCTCTCGCCATCGCGCACGAGGATGCCGCCCTTGTCGGCACCTGGGAAGTACTTGAAAGTCCTCCGGGCCTGTGTAGGGTTTAGGGTTTAGGGTTTAGGGTGCATGGTTTAGGGTTTAGGGTCTAGGGTTTAGGAGTTTAGGGTTTCGCTGCAATCTTCCGGGACCCGTTTTGGGATAGCCGCTCGTGCACAAGCGTGCGACGCTGACTGCGGGCGGAAAGTAGGATTCAGGACCCTTGGGTTCTTTGGAGGGTTTCGAGCTTATCATATAAGGCGTTGAAGGCTTAGTGGTTTATAAGGGTGTAGGGTGTATGAATCAGGGTTTGGGACTTTCAGGTCTTCTCGGGCTCCCCCCCCCAAACCCATCAAGCCCAACTCTCCCATGGCAAGCGCTGCTTGCTGCCATGGCGCCGCCAACCTTGGCTCTTGCCCTAGGATGGCCCTTAAAGCCCTCTACAAAAAGTATTCCTAAGTATGACCCTCTTAAAAGAATACCCGTAAATATGATCCTCTTCAAAACCCAAGAACGGAAAACATAAAATATCCCAAGGGCATACCTAGTGCCATTGTTCGCTGTGGGTTGTGGGTTCAGGCTCAGGGCTTTGTTTTTTTCCACCCTAGCCGTGCTCCACGGGGCAACTGCAGAGAGATTTCCTCGCGCGGAATAAAACCAGGAGCCCAACTATACGCGAAGGGTTTCGCTTGGATTAGGGTGATTAGGGTTGTGGTGTAGCTCTGTTAGGGCAGTTTGGGGCCCATACAGGTCTTAAGCCTCCGCCCCTGAGCCCAGGCTTATCAAAATGTTGAATGGGCCCCGCGTGGCTGGGTTGTTGAAACTGACTCTCCTATCCTGCGGCTCATACTGCAGGAAGGCGATGCGCCTTTGTCACAGCTCGGGTGTCGAGTCTTTCCGAAGGCTTCAATTAGGGTTTAGGGTTTAGGGTTTAGGGTTTAGGGCTTAGACGAGGGATGATAGCCAAGTAACAACCTCCCACAGAGGCAGCTTGCTATGCACGGCGCCGTTGCCGTTTACACCGTTGCTGCTTTCGGCAGCCTTTCCAGTGGCTGACAGACCGTTCAGGGTTTAGGGTTTAGGGTTTAGGGTTTAGGGTAGACTCCAGACCATTGTTGGCACCAGGCAAAGTACATAAGCAGCAGAAGCTCGGATTAGCGCCCCTCTCAAACAAAAAATCGGTGGGCTTCGACCCTCACACTCGCACAAGGCAGGCAAGGATTTAATGTCTGTCAGATTGGACAGAAAGCAGGGTTGATTCCACCCCTCCTAAACCCTTTTTGGCATCAGGACTTGTGCAATCAATCGCCTGAAGCCTAACCCTAAGCTCTAAACCTTAAACCCCTAAACCCTAAGCCTTTTTGAACCCGTGCTGAGGCCGAGGCATGTGACGCTAAAACCCCTTCTCCATCTGGCGCTAAAACCCCCAAACCCTAAACCCTAAACAAGGGGCTCCAGGGAAGCCGAGGTTTCGCGCTTAGTTTTCGTCTCAGGACGCGGGCATGCTGTCACCGGAGTCGTTCCGGCAACCCTACATCGAGTCCCTCAGGGAAGCTTCGATAATTGAAGGGTTTAGGGTTTAGGGTTTAGGGTTTAGGGTTTAGGGTTTAGGGGGTTTCCAAAATAGGGGTGGGGGGGTTCCTATCATAAGGATGATCGTACTCGGGCCATGTGATGGGTAGCCACATCTTGGGAAACCCCCATTGTTGAAATCTGCACCAAGCCCTGCCCAGCTCGGGAAGTTCACGCGCCGAGAGCGCAGCGCAACTCAAACGGAGACGGTGGCCCACTCCACCTTAATGTCCGGCAGCTCTGCCAAAGCTCTTGGAGGCTCTTGGTCTGCTCGCTTGCAACAGCCCAGCCCGAGACCCCCTCCGATGAGAAACCGCACGGTTGGAGGGCCAATCACTATGGCTCCCAGTAGGCAATATACCGGGTAGAAGTGCAATGTGAAAACTTCGAGCATCCAGAATCGCAGTGTGACGGCAGCGAAACACCGCCGGTCTTGAGGCAGGCAACAAAACAGCTGGGCAAAAACGAAGAACTGAACCTGCATGACGACGCTCGTCACATCTTGCCGGAGCCATTCAGTTGCCTTGAAAAGTGTAGGAAGGACGAACCAAGTCAACAGCCCAAGAACAAGCCAGAGCTGACTGTAGTTTGACACATCCCCCAGCTGGCCCACTAGTTTGGCGGCGCGTTGTAGTTCTGGTGTGAGCAGGTGCATACGGATCAGGACTTGCACAGCTTCTTCCACCTCGGGGCCTTTACCGCTCTGCAGAAGCTCAGTTTCAATGTTCCTCTTGTCTATCTCTGATGAGCATTCAGCATCCAAGAGCCTTCCGGAAAACTTGTTGCGCAGAAGTCTGCCCCTGAGTTTTGCATCTGCGGCCAGTATACGGTCGCATTGGGCCGCGATGGTTGCGGTTAAACCCACCCCCCAGAACAACAGAGGTACATCATGAAATTCGGAGTCTCCGTCTTGCTGGGAAACGAGTACTGAAGTCAAGGCCGAACTTACCACAATGGAGCTGATTGTAATGCCTGCCTGCTTGAGGGACTCACACAGGCTCTCCCATTTGAATCGCCGCGCCAGAGCCACGTACAGGAGGCAACTCACCGGCAACATTCCAATCATCAGCAGGTAGTAGTACTGACCATTCAGAGCTCCACCATGCATGATCCACAAAAGTGTGGCGCCGGAAGCTGCGAGGTATAAGCATACCGCGCAACAGAGGCGTTTCCCGAGGCCGGAACACGAGACTGCAGTCCTTATGTCCTTCTGACCGCCATAGGCAAGGAAGGCTTCATACACGCACCATAGTCTCGTGTAGATGCTTCGATGATGATGATGAAGTTGAGGGCAACAACCTGTGCTTACCTAGATGCGGTTAGATGCCCGCCATCAAGAAGAAATTTAAAAAGATCTCCGCAGGCAGCTAAACTGCGCGGGACCCTTCCGAAAGGCCGAACTCAAACAGTCCTGACCGGGAGCGAATTCGGCCATGCACTTCCTTCGAGGTCAGCTGGAAGGCCCGGAGCCTCCAGCGGGCAGCTTGGGGACCTCGCCTCGCTTCATCTGCTTGTGTTCTTCCCATCTTCGCAGAGCTTCGCTACGCCCAATCTTCATGGAAGGCGACCACAACGGGTGGGCCGATCCCCCCTCCGATTCGGTGTAGATGGTGATACCAGATTCGGCACCATCGCTGTCCACACTCGCGTCCTCCGGTTCGGCGCCAGTCTCCTCGGTCGGGACCCCACAGTGTCTCTTGCACGGAGGCGTGAGTCCTGTGTGGCCCTTTTCGAAAACAGCCGGCACTTTGCTCCTCCTTGGTGGCGTGACCTCTCCAGCAGCCGTCTGAGCGTCCCCAGCTCCAAACGTAGCAGTGTCCCCCGTCCTCTCCGTCTCCATATCGCCAGCTTCTGCCTGCAGGTGCGGTGTTCGTAGGCACCCCGTCGCCCTTGTCAAGTGCAGCCGCTGCCCTGGCTTCCTTCTTGCGCTGGCGCCTCCTACGGCGCTTAGCCTTGATGGCCTCGCGCCGGGCCTCCTCCTCAGCAGGAGCGGACTCAATCACCCGGGGCCGTCGCTGCTGGCTAGGCGCCGCAGTGCCAGCAGCAGCCGACACTGCAGCGGCCGCAACCGCAGCAACTGTCCGTCGAGGTGCTCGAGCCTCGCAGGCAGCACGAGCCGCAGCTGCCACGAGCGACGCTGCATCGGAAACTGCCATGGCACCCTATGGCTGAGCAGCGGGGGACCTACTCAGCACAGCATTCGCTTGGGCCTTTGTAGATGCTTGCTTCTCGATTTGGGACAACGATCATCGTGGAGGCCGAGCGTAGGGCCGCTGCAATAGGCGACTCGCTGGGACTTGAGATGAGGCCGGCGATGTCCAAGTTCTGCGGGTTGGACAAGAAGCAGATGTATGCGGCTTTGCCACGCTTTGGCCATGAGTGCTCTACCCTGTCAAGGAACTCGTAGATACCCTCGGCAGGCATGTGTGACGAAAACGTCACAAGGCAGGCCGGAGGGGTTTTTAAGCAATGCCCAGCTCATGTTACCTGCACGAGATGTCAATGGCCGAATGAACTGTTCAACAACCGTGTACACCGATGGGCCACCAGTCACGTCTGAGGCTTCGAAGCCGTCGCGGTCTGTTGGTTGAATCAACCCTTGATCGACCGCATGCATCACCAGCCGGCGAAACTGACGAAGATCGGCCAAGGTTACACACCAGTTCTCTTGCGCAACGGACTGGTGCAAAGCCAAGCCATCTCCCTGCCACTTTGGCGAGAGGAGCTCTCCATCTCCCGGCTTCAGTTGCCTCGTCCCACTGCGAGGTGCCCAAGTCACGAGAAGTATGCCTGCCACGCCTACAAGGAGGAATCCGAAACCAAAAATCTGCAGCACTTCGTGGTACCGCCGATGGCGTTCTGGGAGTTCACAGCCTCTGTCTGCAACGGCGCCGGGGCAACACCGGAAGTAGAACTGGCCACCCACCGCGAACTCCGTGTACTCGATCACTTCAGCTACGAAGCCGTCCCTGCAGGCACAAGGCTCCACAGGCGACCCCATCGCACGGCAGTCCATCTTTGTATCCAGGCATTGATCGCTCACATTGCTGTGGCACGGTGCCGCAGCAACACCGACCGCTCCGAGAAGTACCCGCCACATGAGCTGAGGCGGAATATCTTGGGGAGGCTGCCTTGTTTAGGGGTAATGTTTGCGTCAGCCAGCGGAAAGCTACCTTCCGGGCTTGTGCTTACGTGCGATGCTGAAAAGGAATGCTCGCTCAGTCGCTTCCGTGATGATGGAACCCTGCCATACCGTCGCATGCACATGCTTGCGAACAATCTGCAGCCACTACTGAACCACATCACGAGGCCAGGCCCTCCCAGAGATGCTTAATTAAGGAATATACCTTAAATCATATTCGGATCCCATATAGTTTAAGGTATACTTCCTGATTTAAGGGGTAGTGGGCTCTGTGGGTCTGCCCTGTAAAGCAGTTTATTTATGTATATCTCTCCAATCTTCGCCTGGGTTACCCTAAACCCTAACTCCTAAACCCTAAACCCTAGACCCTAAACCCTGGGCTTTGGGGGTGTCAGGTTAGTCCGCGAGGTCAACCTCAAGACCTGAACCCACTAGGTTGCGGCACCCCAATCCTGTAGCACCCGACATTATGGAAGTCTCCAAGAAATCAGACGTAGCAAAAAACTCTTGACTCTTGACCCTAATTATTAAAAGCCCTAAAGTGTATACATGTATATCTATATATACATATCACATATATATATATATATAAATACATGTATGGGGGTCGCGGTGCTAGACAGCCCAACACCAGCCTTCGGCTCTTCCGCGGCCTGTGCCTGGCGGGAGAATGCGAAAAACAACTCAAACCGTCCGAAGCCTTGTGTCCTCGCTTCACCGTTCCACAGAACCCTAAACCCTAAACCCTAAACCCTAAACCCTAAACCCTAAACCCTAAACCCTAAACCCTAAACCCTAAACCCTAAACCCCAGAGAGCCCAACACCTTAAGTCATATTATTTGGCTGGGGCTTCCCTGCTTCTATCTTTGCGCGGTAGGAGAAACAGTGGGTGACCCAAGGCTTCTACCTCAACAGCGCCTATACAGGCTACCCACAGAGCCGAAAACCCCCAAAATAAGGAATATACCTCAACCTTAAACTATATGGGATCCTTAATATGATCTAAGGTATATAGGGTTTCATGTTTAGGGTTACCCAAAACTCGGAAGCCCCTTGTGCTCAAAGCCCCCGCGCAGGCCTTCGGCTCAGGTTCCACGGCCTTTGCCTGCCGAAAGCCCTAATCTCTAGACAATCCAGCCAAATGATTCCACAAGCAAAAAAACAGACGAATGGGCGTCTTAGTCTGAACCCTAAAAAACCCTAAACCCTAAACCCTCAACCCTAAACCCTTCTCCGAGGCTTCCGACTTCGGGTCACCTGATTCAAGGGGTCACATGATACACGAGTCTCGGGGGATGCACTCCGGGGGCAGGGATGCTCGAAGAATCCGCGGAGCCACTATTACTATTATTATTATGATTATTTATTGTTATTATTATTAATTATTACTAATATTATGATTATTATTATTAATAATAAGATTATTGTCATTAATACAATTATTATTGATATTATTATTACTATCATCTTCACTGTTCTTCTTTTTGTTATTGTTTCTACTACTATTACTATTATAAACCTTATTACTATTATTACAATTACTACTATAATTACTATTATTACTATTACTACCATTACTACTATTATTACTATTATTACATTTATTACTATTATATTTATCAGATTTATGATTGTTGCTCGTACTATTTGCGTATTATTAGTATATAATTATTGTGATGACTGTTCTTATACCATTCCCAACTTTGCCTTTTCCCGGTCGGCTGCCACAGCCGCTCGCCTGGCCAAGGCTTCAGCCGGTGCGTGACTCAGGACTCTGGTTTTCAAACCTCCGACGCTAACCCTAAACCCTAAACCCTAAACCCTAAACTAAAAACCTGTTCATCCCTGCAAGCTGGCAAAAACAAGCACGTCTTGCCTTGGAAACGCTCGTGCCAACTATCACGACCACCCCAAGACGATGCCGACATTCCCACAAGAAGGGGCAGCTGGGAAATGCTTCTGCACAGCAGCACCACAAACTGCCGAGCCGCACCGGCTCCCTCATGTCTCATGATCTTCTTCGCAATTTGGGCCGAAGAGGTCCCTGAGGGCCTTACTCCTACACCAACAGCTAGACGATGCCCAAGCATTCCCCCTCCCCCTCCAAAATTGAGAGAGAGAGAGAGAGGGAAAAAAGCAAAAAGTAAATACCACCCTTCAGCCCTAAACGGGCCTTTCAATCCCGTCGGGAGCCACAAGCACAACATCCTTACGAAGCCTCTCAGGTCCCAGAAAATCGAGGCTAGCCGGAGGCAACAAGCTTCCTGACCAACGTTTCAGCCTGTACGCGAACAAGCACAGCGGGACGCTGTTCCCTGTAAACCCTACAAGCCCTATATAAACCCTTTGATCCACCCATCATCTTCGGGAACTGCCCCATCTGCGGGAGATTTTTTTTACACCTCCGCCCGTCCTCTCCGCCGCGAGCTTTTCCGAGGCGGCAGCACGCTCAGCAGCGGCCTCTGGCTTGGTGGGCTTGGGGTTTAATTAGGGTCTTTTGGCACGCTCTGTCTGCAAGCAGGTTTATGGTTTAGGGTTTGGGGTTGGAAGTTTGGAGGTTGGGGCTTTGGGTTTGGGGCTTGGGGCTTGAGGATCTAGTCAAAAATCTTGAAGGCACCTCCTGATCAGCAAGACTGGGCAGAGCCTCGAGCATCAACCTACAGCGCAGTACGGCACAATACAGCACTCAGTCGAGGTCACTTGCTTGCTGCTCTTGTGGCAAAGGTTTGTATAGGGTAAGGCAGACGTGCAAACACACCCCCCCGCCCACTAAGATGGGCCTGTTGCACTGCCGTGTCCTCTACCTGGCGGCAACAATGGGTGAGTGCTAAAGCTTCCGGGCACAACTGCACATTTTCCCCAAGAGCTGTCGGACATGGAGCCTGTGTGCCCAACCGCATGTTGCCAGCCATGTGGATAAAACAAACAGGCAACGCTGGGTCAACATCAAAATGCCCCAAAGCGCCCCTGCATTCCACAGGGCTCTGTTTCAGGGTCAAAATATGTCAACATGCAAAGCATCCCTCTTCCCAAGGTTCACCCTATGTGCTCCCATGTCACCATTGGGAGCCTAGTTCATGGGTAGAACTGACCGCTGGCGCTCCGGAACCCTTGCAAGACACAAGGGTGGACCTCCACCGGCCAAAAAAACCTATTACTTGAGAAGGAACCCCCCCCCCCCCGAGAACAATCCTCCTCAAACTCCTACGAACCCGGAGATTGAATACGCTTTTGCTAAGGAATGCGCCCCTTAAACTATATATAGGGATATGAATCCAAGGCCTATACTTCCTAAATTAGAGGGTGTGGCTGGCTGAGCTCGTTGAGTTGCTGCCCAGGGCCTCCTCGAGCTCGTCAAAATCCATGCGCCCCGGCGCCCGGTGCGAGGGAAAATTTGGGCACTTCAGGGGGGCGGCGAAGCAAAATCGTGGGGCGTTCGGGCCAGCGGCTGCGGCGGAGAGCTCAGTGCTTGGGGGGGGGGGGGGGGGGGGGGGTTGCCCCAAACTGCTAGGGGGTGGACCCCCCTTCCGAGGGTCCTGTATGTCGTGGATTACGCAATTGTCTGGGTTGCAAGAAGGGGGTCGAAACACAACCATTTGGAGCTTGCTATAGAAGCCAGTGGTTCCCCTCTCAAGACCTGGGGCTTTTAGGGAGCTTTGGCGAGCTTCAAAGGGTTCAGGTTATGGGGGGTGAGATCTAACACGCTCATTTTTTGCCAAGTCATGGTAGACTTGGGTAAGAAACCCCCTCCCCCAATTGATATGCATGTCAGAACGACCCTAGAATAACTCCCCACGTGCTAGCACCGTCGAATCTATCAGAACTCCTTTGCGGAGAGCCCGACCAAAGATATCCGGGTTTACTGGTTCATAGTTGGGATAGTAATAAAATTTTAAAATTTTATTCCTTATTGAGTTTAAGTACCCTTAAAAATGCAAAAATGTTACCCCACTATGATATAAAGTTTAGGGTTTATAGCCTTTAGGGCCGCTTTGCCAACCCTCTCAGAGTCTGCATATCTGTCTCCCTGGCCTGTAACTCGACAAAAGCAAACCCTGAATTCTGAATACGTTCACCTTGACTCCAGTGCTCGCCCTGCCTGGCCTCCAAACTAAAGAAAAAATTGTCTATAGCTGCGTACAGTAGATGCATGTACATGCGCACCATGTTTTACTCTGTGGCCCATTTAAGCCCTACTCACCACGAGATGAGATGCGGTGCGACTGACACCTTTACCTCCACACAACCACACAAACCCGAAGCACCAGTCAGAAAGACGGCCCTCCCACACACAAGCAGCTGCAGAAGGCCTGGCTGTAGCCCTCGTAGCCCTCGTGGCCCTCGTAGCCCTCGTGGCCCTCGTAGCCCTCGTAGCCCTCGTGGCCCTCGTAGCCCTCGTAGCCCTCGTGGCCCGCGTAGCCCTCGTAGCCCTCTTGTAGGGCGTTCCTCAACTCCCCCCGTGCTGGAGGAGCCTGTCCAGGGCTGCCTAAACCCATCATCTAGGTCTTGACCCCTACGTCTCTGCAGCTTTGCGAAGTTTTGTGTGTTCCCGGGCATGGCACTGAAGGTCGGACTGGAATATAGAAGAAACTTGGAGCTTTCTGGGTTCCAGGCTCCGGTTGTTCTAGGGCCCGGGATTGTGGATTGAAGCTTCGGATCTGAAAGGGGGGCTGGTGATTGTAAGACATTCATGGATCGTACGTTTAGGGGCGATACATGATGGAAGACCATATATATATATATATATATATAGATGAGGTTCTTTTAGACTGCGGCTGTGGATTGATTTGACAGAACGCTCACTCGCAAGAATCCACGGGATTCTTTGACTTCTTCCTGGCTAGCGCGTTGCTTTCCCGAACATCAACCTTCCCCAAACGCGCAAGCCAGGAAAGACAGATAGACAACGGCGAGCGAGAGAGAGAGCGAGAGAGAGAGAGAGAGAGCGAGAGGGAGAGAGGGAGAGAGAGAGCGAGAGAGAGAGCGAGAGAGAGCGAGAGAGAGCGAGAGTGAGAGAGGAAGAGAGCCAGAGAGAGAGAGAGAGAGAGAAAGAGAGAGACAAAGAGCGCCAGAGAAAGAGAGAGAGAGAGAGCGCAAAACGAGAACAAGAGGTGATGGGATGTCAAACGCCGCAACTGCAATAGTACCAGTACCAGCCTTTACAAGTGGCGGCGGGTGCGCAGGTGCAGGAGCCTCAAGACAAAGGCTCAACGCCATCTCAATGCCAGAAGCTTCGGAAGTTCGAGTTGTGCAAAGACTCTGCAACAGCAGACTTCGCGCTAGTTCGAGTGCAGGGGCATGGGTTCGGCTTGCATAAAATGCATCAGGGATATCGGATCCAGGTTATCGGCACAAAGCAACTACAAAGCCAAGTACAGTGAGCCAGCGATTGATGAGTTCTGCGCATGTGCATCTGCACCCTCCCTGAAAAGTCACTCGTTTCGAGCGTGCGCCGACACCTACCCACGTTAAACCCTAAACCCTAAACCCTAAACCCTAAGCCCTAAACCCTAAGCCCTCCTGCCTCGAAATCCCAGGATTCGCGCTGATCCATGGGCATCATGCCCCCTGAATCAAGGAGTGGTCTAGGGTTTAGGGTTTAGGGTTTAGGGTTTCCATAACTTCCAATCTCCCGGGTGCGCAGATGCTCGTCGCTATCTCTGTCAGTCGCCAACCGCTATCTACAAGGAAGGACGATCCTTGGGGATCAAATGAACCCTAAAAAGGTGTATGGTTCATATACCTTAATTGGAATTGCAGTGGTCTAGGGTATATGACCCCAACTGTAGGGTTCAATTGATCCAAGGGTAGGACTGCGTCCGCATTGACCCCAGGACCCAAACTCCCGGCCAACCTTACTGGTTCTTAGGAGGACACGAGGGTTCGGGGGCCTTCTCCTAGAATTTACATTTTTGCGCCCCTGTTCGTAGAAGAATATTATATACCATAATTATACTATCATCGAGATGCCCTACTTTAGAACAAACCCAGCTCCGTAGTCCCGAAGGTCCAAGAACCATTCGGGGGGAGAAAAGCGGCGCACGCGCCTTAGCCCAGTGATACAGCAAGGATGCAAACATCCCTTCAACCCTAAACCCGTTTGCAAGCCCTTCTCCTAAACCCCAGGCTCCAAGTATCAGCTAAACCCCAAACCCCAAACCCCAAACCCCCTAAACCCTAAACCCTAAACATCGATTTCGGATGTAGCCAGTCCACCCTGAACCCTGTGCCTGTGGCGGCCGCCTCTTGTCCCGCGGGATCCTCCTCCCAGGCTTCGCCTGGCGGTCAATAGGGTTTAGGGTTTAGGGTTTAGGGTTTGCGGTTTTGGGTTTCTTTGTTACCTCCTGCACAGCTGGGGCGAGTCCACGTCGCAGGGTTGATGACGAGACGGCGAGACATGGTACACTCACTCTTGCACACACAGAGCGATCCTCACCTCAGAGCCCTCTACAATCAGCTTCCACCAATAAACCCTAAACCCTAAACCCTAAACCCTAACCCTAAACCCTAAACCCTAAACCCCCCAATCGTCACCGGCTCCGCACCGACGTGCTCCACCAAACTTCATTAGTTTGGCCACACCTCCCGAGGTTCAGATCCTCTTCAAAGGGTCAATTAGCACAGGGTTTAGGGTTTAGGATTTAGGGTTTAGTACCACTACCTGCTGCCTACTGACCAACTACTAACTACTTACTACTTTTGTGGATGCGTAGGGTTTGTTGAGACTTTTGCGTACCTCTCCGAAACCTTTCGACCAGCAAGGGTGCCTATCTGCTCGAGAACTCCCTAGTCCCAAACACGTCGGCACTGCCGTCACCGCTGTTGTTCCTCGCAAGTTTTGAGAGATATCTGTGGGCTGCACAGGGCTTGTGTGACGCTCGAAGACTCTAAGAGTTGAAGGATTTCGCTGCTCGGGCGCTTTGTGCACGCCTTGTTATTGCTTGCCCTACATCTGACGGGGCGCTACGATGTTTGTTGCGGGGAGGGGCAGTAGAGAGTGGGGGGAGAAGAGAGGGAGGAAGGGGAGGGGAGGAGGGGAGGGGAGGAGGGAGGAGGGAGGGGAGGGTAGGAGGACACCCTCAAGCATTTGGAAGAGTGATGATTACCGGGCAGGCAGCCACCAAACTTAAACGGCAAACATGCAGACAGGCACACCTTGCCCCCAAAGTCTGAGCGTTAGCTCACCGCGAACATGGCCCACATGTGTCTAGGGTTTAGGGTTTAGGGTTTAGGGTTTAGGGTTTAGGGTTTAGGGTTTAGGGGTCTAAACCATGGTCACTTTCGGGCATCGTTTTCATTCTTCGTCTTGTCACGAGGTGCCCTCCCCGTCCCGAGCTTTGCCTTTGGACTCATGGAGCAACTGGGTTTAGGGTTTAGGGTTTAGGGTTTAGGGTTTAGGGTTTAGGTTTTAGGTTTTAGGGTTTAGGGGCTTCAGGCTATCTATACCCAACTCGCCGATTAACCAAGCATAGACCAGGTGAGTTCGTCTCGTTCAGAAAAAAGAAGTTTCCCGCCACAGTCAGATGGGGTTTAGGGTTTAGGGTTTAGGTTGCGAGGATGCTTTAGGGCAGCGAGCCCCTCAAATTCTGAGGCCCACACCAGCTGGCTTTGTATGCCGGCTGCTTAGATGTGGTGGGTGCCATGATGGCCAGACCTGGCAAAATCTTGACACGCGGCTGCACAAAGCCTAAGCAAAGTGCCAGTGTGCCTTTCCTCTTTGAGTATTCTTTTCACTCATTTCTACTTTCAATTGCTGTTGTCCTTGTCGGTATTCTTTTGGAGTGTTGTCTTTTGTAGCAGTACCTGCATCCGGCTGCTACCAACTTGCTGCGGGAAGTTTAAGGTTCAGGGTTGCGGGTTTAGGAAGCTACCGATGCTTCAGAGGACTGCAGGCCGGCGTGGAGCTCTCTTCCGGGTTAAAGGGGTGCAGGGTGAAGGGTTGCGGGTGGGTTTACGATCCCAACTTGAGGTTCGAATTCTAACCCTGCACCCCAAACTCCGCACTTTTCTAAGAAACATTCAACATACCCCTTGGGCATACACTTAAAACAAATTAAGGGGGCATGGTAAAATCCTTCCTTATGTTCTCCCTTTTATCGGTTAAGGGGTATGGGTTTAGGGTATGTTGAATTATTCTCAGAACTTTAAACTCAATGCTCCTGACTACCCTGGCGCGATCGAGTCTGCAAGTGACAGCAACTAAAGATCGGTTCAACGTCTCGGTAGCCCAGAAACCGTATTATGACAAGGGCACCCGTTTTGGTTGGTTACTTCATAAGGGAACCCATAACCATAGAAAAAGGGGTTAAAGGGTACTGCTGGGCTACCAAGACATGTTGAGCATCGGCATCCTGGCTGGACAGTGAGGGGCGCTACGCTAAAGGCAGCTTTGCTGGTGTCGCAACCTGCCCGACCATTACTGTTTGTGGAAGGACCCCCCCCCCCCCCCTCAGACAGACCGCGAGGTTGGAAGCGCGGCACAGAAGACCAGGTCCAAACTTACTATGCTCGAAGCCAAGGAAAGCTGGAGAAGACCGCCTTTTTTTGGCTTCTGCAATCTAAGCGACTGACACCAAACTGCAGCCCCACTAAGCTTGACCCCGGACCTGCCTCCAGAAGACCCACTGGGCTTCTGCAGCCTCTGTGGAGGGGGCATCGGAAGCCTGGGCAAAGCACGCAGAAAGGAGGTTAGGGTTTAGGGTTTAGGGTTTAGGGTTGAGGGTTGAGGGTTTAGGGTTTAGGGTTTAGGGTTTTAGGGTTTAGGGTTTAGGGTTTAGGGTTTAGGGTCTAGGGTCTAGGGTCTAGGGTCTAGGGTTTAGGGTTAGGGTTTAGGGTTTAGAAGGGCTGTGCCGAGACAGACGACCCCTGGGGGAGTTTGGGGCTTTGACCCACCTTCCCGTAGAGCTAGCGGAGGAGCCGCACACAATCCTAGCCCTCCCCGCCCCCCACAAACAAGAACAACTCACCTTTGAGCCATCGAGCACAACACGCATGGACATTGTCGTCTCCTAAAAGCTCTTCGTCAGCACAGCAGGATCGTGAAACCAATGCCAACGTCCATCCTTCGTCTTTCTTGTGTAGGGCTTAGGGTTTATTGTATTTAAGAAGCCGGCAGGGTTCTTGCTTTAAGCAGCAGGTTTTGCGGCTCAATAACTTGCAAAAATGTTCTAAATGGTCTCGGGGTCTCCAAAACCACCCAACCCCAACACGAGGACGTCACTGGCTTTAAGCGAGTGGATTTGTGAAGCAGCCAGGCAAAAAATGCACCAAAACAAGCCACCGCCACCAGAGCAACTGGTTATTACATAGCCAAACCCTAAACCATTGACAAGACCTCGCCCAACGCCTCCAAGCCCCAGAAGCCCTACCCCCTAAACCCCCAAAGTATGCAAGCAAGGACCATTCTCTTACATGCTTTTGGGGGGTTTACTGACTCTGAACCCTTTTTGCAACCAGGTCTCTTGACTCTGAACCCTGAACCCTAAACCCTAAACCCTAAAACCCACAACAGGACACCCCACGAAACTCCCAGGGCCCGGGCCCCCGCCGCCTGGGCAGCGAAGGTGCGGCGCGCCTGGATCTAAGCCCCAAACCCAAACCCTAAACCCTAAACCCTAAACGTTTCATGTCTTCGAAGGGAGGAGCCTTTGTACCGTAGAGTCCGTAAAGTTGGAGCAGGGTTGAAGGACGAGTAGTGCTGGGAGTCCCTTTCGCCACCCTCTTGGGGTATGAGGGTAATGATGTTCGAACTTGGAGCCTTTATAGGTTTCTTTTGGGGGCTTGATCGCTCACGCTCGGACAAGCCAGGCGAGGCACATACTGTCGATGAGTCAGACTGGGCATTTTGCCACCTGCCTAGCCTCTCAACCACACTGCTGGGATGCAAGGTGTCCAACTCGAGTTTGTGCGATGTCCGGACGATGGGGGGTTTTAGGAGTTTGTGTTTGGTGTCTTGTTTTGGTTCGAGGGAGTGCATGCTAGGCATGCAAGGGCCCAGAAGTCAGAGGGCGCATGTCAGCGGCCCATACTTTGAGCCCTCGATTGTTGAACAGGCTGTTTGAAGCACAAGACAAAGCCAGGAAGCCCTTCACATCACCAGAGCCGAATGCAGCACCCAACCCAGAAGCATGTGGATGAAAGCGCAGGAAACAGGACCCAGTCGGCAGCCATCATAGAGTGAGCCATCACAAACCGAAGCAGGAGTTCATACTTGGCTTAGTTCATGAGTGCAAACCAGCAGCGGCAGCACCATCTGCACATCCCTTCCCGAAGCAGAATTCTAGATTCTAGAGGTTACGGCTTGAGTGAAAAACCTAAACCCTAAACCCTAAGTGAGTTGAGGATAGCTTAGGATACCGGTGAATAACACGCGAGGGAGAGACAGTGCTCACATTTGCAGTCCTTGCTCGACAAAAACGACTGAAAACGCGGCAGCCCCAAAGGAAAACGCAGCGTGTATGTGGTGTGTATGTAAGTAAATAAACAAATACGTATATATATATATATGTGTGTGTGTGTGTATATATATATATATACATTTTTCAGTTATTTCTTTATTTATATTTACATAAATACATATATACATATATGTGTATATATATATATGTACATATATACACATACATAGACTTAAGGACCTGCGAGGGGGGGCTTCAAGTCACCAGGTTGCTTAAGCTTGTTCCGGTTCAAACACGTTGACGTCCTTCTTTGAGTTGCTCCGATGTGCAATGACAGCGGCTACGGAGTTTAGGGGAGCGGGGTTCGGGTTTGGGAGTTTAGGAATTCAGGGTAGTTTATATAGGGTTTAGGGTTCAGGGTTTAGGGAGTTTAGGAACTCAGGGTAGTTTAGGGTGTTAACGGGGCCCCGGCGGCTGCTCGCCGTACTTTGCGGTTGCGGAGGGTGGATTCACCACGACGCCAGTCTGCGCAGACGGCGCGCCCGAAACCTGCGCAAAGGGTCGCGTTGCAAGGCGCATGCAGCTCCGCAAACGCAGGACACATAGGGTCGGCTCTATTAAGTGTTCTGGGGTATTGGGCTCCTGTGATTACTAAAATTTGCTTAAGAACTCCAAAAGAAATACAATACTCTTCCTGATTAAGGGTAGGATTATTATTTCTTATTCTTTTGGGGTTCTTAAGCAAATAGTAGATTGCTGTAGGGATTGGGAATCTAGCCGGGCCTAGCGACGCCAGCCTGACAGCCAGAAGCTCTGACAGACCAAGCCTCCCTGAAAAGCCCCAAGCAAACAATGGAACCCGAATGCCCTCAACCCTAAACCCTGTTGCAAGAGTTTCTGCGCGCACTCTCTGCGGCAGCAAGAGTTTGGGTTTTAGGGTTTAAACTGACACAGGAGCCCTGAAGCAAAAAGGGTTTAGTTTAGGATTTAGGGTTAAACTCAACCCTCGACCTAGTTCAACAAGGGGCCTCGGGCACTCGAAACGCCTTCGGGGGCCCCAGCTTCGGGGCGGATATCGGTGGCGCCTGGCGAGGTGCGAAGCCCGAAACAGTTCTAGGTTGATGGGGCTTAAGGGTTTTGGGTCTAGGGTTTAGGGTTTAGGGTTTGGGGCTTAGGGTTTAGGGGTAGCAGGAGTGGCACAATTCGGAAGCACATGACCGACCGCAGCGGAACCTGACCGGCTTCCGAGACGTGCGGCCAAACTGTAGAAGCTGTTGCCCATGAAAGGCTCATCGTAGGTTGGGGAATGTTGAGGACGAACCCTAAACCCTAAACCCCAAACCCTATAAACCCTAAGGTCAGGCTTGGGGTATAAGGATTTGATTTGGAAACGTGGCAAATTGGCAGCCAGCTGGTGTGTTCTCGTGTAGATGGTCTGTTCTCTTAGGGTTTTGGGTTTAGGGTTTTGGGCCGTTTATGGCCATTGCTAGAATGCAGCTCCTTGTCCTTGGGGTCCCACCAAATAAGGGGAACAAAGAACAGAGAATGCGCGCGCACACACACACACACACCCTTTCGTGCATCTGCACATATAGTTGTGTACACACATACATACATATTCCGGGACTGCGGCTTCTGGATATGGCACGGGTGGCACTATGGTTTTTTTTCTGTTGTCAGTTGTCGGTGGGCTCCTCAGTCTCAGAATTCTGGGCTCCCAGAGGGTTGCGGGTTGAGGGGTTGAGGGGTTGAGGAGTTTAGGGTATAGGGTTTAGGGTTTAGGGTTTAGGGTCCGAAGCCCATAAGCCAGGCAGTCACATTGTGGTTCGGGGCTGTCCGCCGGCGGTGTGTCACGTTCAATCAAACTGAGATGAAAACATCGTCGGTCACACCTTGCCTTGATCCAACTATATATATATATATATATATATATATATACATATACATATATATATATACATACACGTACCCTAAAAGGGAGTATTTTGGGTACCTCATTCCCGCATTCCCTACTAAGCCCGGGGGTAAATTCTGAACCCGGGTTTCGGGTTTGGGGCTTAGGGCTCTGGGTGCGTGATCTTACCCTAAACCCTAAACCCTAAAGGAGATCTTGTCGGTCCTGCTCGTGCTGGCTCGCTGTCGTCTCCACAAAGCGGCGCACCTGCGAAAGAGGAGATCTGCGCTTAGGGCTTGCCCTCACGCGGTTGGGGGGGGGGGGGGGGGCTCCACCGTGCTGGATGCCCTTTTGGGCCCTGAAACTCCCACTTCAACCCTAAACCCTAAACCCTTTTTTGAACCCAGACTCTGTACGTCAGCTGGCACGATGACAATTGCATCCCTAAACCCCAAACTGTAAAGAGCACTCAGCGAAGGCAAACCGCCTGGGGCGCCTGAGGCAGCTTTGGCCGCGCCTTCCACCACTGGACTTTCAGGCTTTCGGAAGTCGTTTTTGAGGCTCTTGCTCAGCTCCAACTGGTTTAGGGTTTTTAGGGTTTAGGGTTTAGGGTTTAGGGTTTATGGGGGGATGCACAGCGACTAGGCCAGGACCTCGCCTTGGGTGGCGCCGGTGGCGTCTGGGCCGGCTGAAGGCGTGCGAAGCGTGGCGGCTGCTGCGCAGGCTGCTGCGGCTGGCGTCACGGCACAGACTTCAAAACCCCAGCTCAACAACCGGTCTTGTGGTATACTTAGGGGGGTTCAATCTTGAGTCACGCTTGTTTTAGTTGTCTTGGCTCTTCCTTGACATTTTCTCTCAGGTGCTGTTGCACACGCGTAACAAGCGTCTTAAAGATGTTCATATTCTGAAATTATTAGATTACTCTATTCTGATATTGCTATAACTCTTTATACATCACAATGTGATGATAAGAAAATGTCTCGTCATACGTTCATACTCTTGCTCATACTACTATATAGCATGTGATTATGCGCTAATCTCCTTTACATCTTCATATTATGCAGCCTGTAGTGCTCTCATCCTCTTTGCCCTTTGCCCCTGCGCCTGCCATGCCACGATCTGCTGGGCCTTGCTCGCCTGTGCCTGGACTGCCTCTCGGAGCTGCGAGATCACGAGGGTTTAGGGTAGTTTAGGGTAGGGTAGTCTGGGGTAGAAAAGGGTAGTTTAGGGTAGTTTAGGGTTTAGGGCTACACTCTCTGTGGATGGTTTCGGCCTGAACCTTCCTCTCCGGCAGCTCATTTCCGAAGTGGGATGGTGATTCGGGCCGCGTAACGTCACGAGAGCGTTTGCAGCCCCAGTGGGATTTCTGCAACATGCTCCAGATTCTGCTACCTTCTTCATGTCTGGTGAGGCTCGCCCTCCACAACTCCAGAACCGGCTAGAGTTTGATTTTTAAGGTTTGGCAGGGTTTCTTCATCCATACTTGTATCGTCGCCTGGGCACGGCATTCGTTTTGGGTCAAAATCGGGCCACCACCGTCTAGCCGCAAGCTTGACTACACACAGTCACCGAGAACGATGTTGTACTCCGTCCGACGTGATTCAGTACGCTCTTGTGCACGTCCCGTGCGCATTTCGTGGTCGACATCGCGCTCTCTCCGTCCCGCGCGCCTTTGTTTTTACATTTCAAGCTTGGTTTCGCGACCCGCGGAGGGCGGTGAACAAACGACACTGTTTTCATGTTCCCCAAGGACCGGAGGAGTACTAGGTTGCCGGGTAACCTGGGATTAAAAAGGATGCACTTTTTCTGCTCACAGGGGTTATTCTAAGGGAAACTAAACCCCTCAAAAAGGGAATAAGTGCACTACTCGGCATCCTAGAGTGGCGGCTGAGTAGCAGACGGATCAGGGTCCGCCGGACTCCGACACCCTGCCATAAAGCCAAGCCAAACCTTTACAAGAAGTCTGTGGGCCCTCCCAAACCTACAAGGTTTAGAGTTTAGGGTTTAGGGTGTAGGGTTTAGGGTTTAACCCTAACCAAGCCAACTGAACCACAGATAATCAAAAAAGCCTCCCCTCCAACCTTTGAACAAAAAGAGAAGGGAGCTTCCCCAACCCCCTTAAGCCCCGGCCAGGGCGAGCCCTGCCTGTGGCGGAGGCGGGTGCTTGGGGGGCTGTGGCCGCTGTGGCCCCGACAACGACACCGAGCGGGGCACGTAGGCCTGGCTACTTTGAGGACGCCATTGTCAATGGCATCTTTGTTTTTGGATTAGGGTTTAGGGTTTAGGGTTTGGGGTTTGGGGTTTGGGGTTTAGGGTTTGGGGTTTAGGGTTTAGTGTTTAGGGTTTAGGGTTAAGAGCCTTTGAGGCTTGAGGGTCTGAGAATGTTTCGGTTCAAAAGGCGGAGGGATCCTTGGGTACGGGTGCTCTTTGCTCGCCCTAAGCCAGAGACCCCAAAGTCCCTGACCCCTCAAACCCTAAACCCTAAACCCAAAAAAGCCGACAGCACGTTGCCCAAGCCCAGCCCCAAAACGACCCTGAAACCCTAACAAACCCTAGCACTTTTGCCCCAACCCCCCCCCCCCCCCCCCCACACACACACACACACACACAAAACAAAAAACCCCACACCCCCCAACAAAATCCTAACACGCCCCGCAAAAGCAACCCCAGAGGGGAGCCCTCCTAAGGCCCTAAGGCAGAAAGAACCACAAGCAGCACTCAGCCTTGGGTGAGTAGTTCCTGGGCTGGAGTGGGCTGCTCGGGTTTTTGGGGGTCCTTGGGGGGGTCTCTTGGGCGGGTCTTTGCGTTTTTTTTTTTTTTTTTGGGGGGGGGGGGGGGGGGTGGGTTGGGGGAATCCAGTGCTTCGGATATTGAAGGTCTTTTTGTGCGTCCTTTGGGACATTGAGGCTGTCATGGGTTTGCAGGTACATAAGGCACCCCTGAAACACCACCAAAACTTGAGGTTACTGGAAGGAGACTCTGTGACCTCAAAGCCTCAGTTATTCGTTCTAGCAACGAACTGCTACAGCAGCCATTGTCGAATGATGTTCATTCAGATATACGCAAAACAGCGCAAAACCATAAATCCGCAATGCTTGTGTTTTGCTCCCCTCTATGTACAAGTTGTGTGAGTGTGTGTGCTCTTCCTTGAAAAGTCGGGTCTCCTGGTAAGGAACTGCGACATGAATAGAAATGCCCTGTTTGTCATCATTGTGGGCTGTCCGTGCTGACACCTGCATCGATCCAGGTGCTAAAGACTAGATGCACCAAACGACCTCTCTCATCATCAAGTTTGAAACACAGCATCGATGAGGTCGGATTGTTATGCGTCTTATTCTGCTGCCTGGCACCTGCGCACCTACGTAGTCGCCAACACAGCGCCACCTACCAGCATGCCTCAACAAGCCTCCTAAACCCTCAACCGTAACCCCGCTCCCTACACCCTAAACTCTAAACACTTAAGCCCTGAACCTCAGTGGAGTTTGACAACCAGCCAAAGCCTTGTGCGGAAGTCCCCTGTAGCCATACACCTCATCCTGAACCCTAAGTCCTAAACCCACCTCATGCTGAACCCTAAACTTCCCCTGAGGGGTTTCCCTAACATACTCCTATCATGGCACTCCTATTCCTTTAGAGGACCTTCAAACCCAAACCCATGAACGTCAATCATGGATTCATTTTCCATCCGAATGACTCAATGGCGTAATATTACTATCCATTGTACTCAATTCACTGAAACCAATAGAATTGCTAATATATTGAAGTCATGCTTCCGCAGTGTATTTATTTCCTCAAACATGCAATTATTTTGCGGAAAGAAATTTGTACAATTTGTTTTTGTATCATTGCTGTTTTTTCTTGCTCAGGAACTTGACTGAGCAGCCACAATAAGGTCACATAGAACAAATAAATCACAACATAGTACCCTTCTTTTAAGCTTATCTACTTTAAGAATCCCGAACCAGAGCCCAGGAAGCCCAACACAAAAGCTCCGAACCATCCAAGAAGTCCGGGGAGCCGCTGTGTCCGCTGCCGCTTCCAATCCTGCTCGACCTCCTCTTCCTCCTGGTACTCCTCTTCCGCCCTGAGCTGAGGCTGGCTCTTAACACCCTCTTCACTTTAGGGAAACTTTAGGGTTTAGGGTTTCGCCACCCGCACTGCGCGCACACAAGCACCTAAGTCGAGGTCTCCGGGAGTGGACACGCTTCTGTGAGCGCATCACGAAAAGGGTTTCGGACCAGTCCCCTTCAGGCGAAGGTCTGCGTCATTAACTGGTGGGGTTGCCGGCGCGTGCAGTGCTACCACTAAGGACTTTCGAAAGGGTCGCGAGGCAGCCCCACAGCGTCTATCCATCTATCCTGCCCTTCAGACATCAGCATGCACTCCTAGTCTAACTCTCGGCTGTAACGCCCAACAATGATACACGGAGCACGGTCATGAGGCTACCAAAGAGCTAGCAACAAACCACCCGACATCGCTCCTAACACTGTAACCAAGTCGGACTGGCGCGTGCTCCAACAGGCCTCATGCAGCCGGTTTGGGCTGCAGGCCTCGTGCTTTATTGAAAGCCTCGATGTACGACGTGAGGGGACCATGCACCGGGAGCATGGGTCGGATACTACCAAGGGCTAGCAACAACCCACCCAACATCGCCCCGAACGCTGTGACAGAAACGGACCCGCTCCGACGGCCTTCTTGCAATCCAATCGGACTGCAGGCCACGTTGACTATCGAATTCGGGGGATCATGCACATTTGTTGGCGGAGGGTAGGTTTCGGGGCATTCTTGCCGAGCACAGTTTTGGGGTTACCAAGGGGAAGCATCACACCACAAACATCAATCCCAACGCCGCAACGGAACCACCCCGGTACGTGCTCCGACAGCCCTCGTGCAGTCGAATTAATCTGCAGGCCTCAGTGTCGAATTGGGGGAACCATGTACAGCGTGTGGTATGGAGTAACTTTGGGACAGTCATGCAGAGCACAGCGTCTGGGCCACCAGAATAGGGGGGGCACCATACCACCCATAACACAGATCCTAATGCTTCAACGGGAACCGACCGGCATTTGCTCTGATGGCCCCCGTGCAATCGAATTGTGAATTGGGTGTGTTTTGGGGTTTAGGGTTTAGGGTTTAGGGTAGGTATTCAATATGATCCTCTGCAATTCAGAAGTACCCCAAGGGCCAAGCTAGGAAAGGGTTTCCAAAGGGCTCTGGGCTCCTTTGAAGCGCATTCCAAGGTCTCTGAGATCGCACGCCCCTAACGTTCAGCTTGCTACTTTCGCAGGGTTTAGGGTTTAGGGTTTAGGGCTCAGGGCCTTAGGGTTTAGGGACTCCAGGCTCAGTGCCTCGACTTCATGACCAATTCCCAGGGACCAGGGGAAAAACAAATCCCATCCCGCGAAATATTATAATACATCGTTGCTCGAGACTGCTTGCGGCTGGGCTACAGGACCACGGGGTAACCCTAAACCCTAAACCCTAAACCCTAAACCCTAAACCCTAAACCCGAATTAAGCCCTAAACCCTCCCGACCCGGGCATCTTCTCCCGTGTCCCCATCTCTCTGACTCACACATCTGGCTTCGGTATTCTTTTCGATACATCTCCATTCTGACATAAACTTGGCTTGCTCATTGAGGGCCCATATAATAAGTTTAATAGAAGGGCCCACAAGTAATAATACCAACCAAAGATTCTTAGCAATCAAACAACTCATGCGCCTTCATGCCACCTAAACCCTAAGCCCCAAACCCTAAACCCTTATTGCATCCGGGCTTGGGCAGTCGGCCGGGGATGGGAGTTGCGGCTCTCAATGCACAGCACATGCACAGAGGAGCAGCACCACTGACTGCACGTCTCTATCCGACAAAGCCCTAAACTCTAAACCCTACACCCCCCCAACCCCCTCAACCCCAAGCGCAGGCGAGGGGCGCTTCCTCCTTCTTCCAGCTCTTCCAGCCTTTGGTGGGCACTGCATGTTAGGATTTGCAGGTTCCGGTTTTGAAGGAAACTTAACAGAGCTAACCTTTTAGATATAGTCTACGGGGAGTACACCCCACCCCCACCCATGGTTCCGTCTCTTGAGGGTTTAAGGTTCCGGGTTTCGAAGGCAGCTTAACAGGGAGTACACCCCACCCCCCACTCCCAAAGGTTCCGTCTGTGAAAACAGGATCTTCGGGGGGGTTCAGGCTCTTCTTGCTCTACAAGTTCTTGAGCCGTCGTGTGCTTTCTAGCACTTACTCCAGGGCTCCGCTCGGACTTTCTAAACTCTAAGCCCTGTCCAGATCTCTTTTTTTTTCTGGCTATGTTTATAACCCTAAAACCTAAACCCTAAACCCTCAACCCGCTCCCCACATCCCCACCAAGGCAGGCATGATCCCAAACTGAGCCATTCTCTGCGCGTCTTCAGGGCTTCACGCCCAAGTTTAACTAGTTAACTACCGAAAACCTTTCGTTTTGCTGAGTGGTGCTTTAAAGCCCTTGAAAACCACTTCTGAACAGGTTCCCTTAACAGGGGTTCAAAATTCTCAAGCCAGTTTAGGGTTCAGGGCAACTCCAGGGCCCAAAAAAACCCGGGTGGCTGTCAAGATGATGGTTGGATCCCTATTACACTACGGAACTGAATATTTAATTTAGGGTACCCCAAACCCCTAAACCCTAAACCCTAAACCCTAAACCCCAAACCCGAAACCCAAGGTGCCTCCTTGCCAGCTGTTCGAGCTGCCCGAATCCTCCCAGCCCTTCCTTGGGAGGAACCCAGACGCTGGGGGGGGGGGGGGTTTAGGGCTTTTAGGGGTTTTAGGGTTTTAAGGGTTCTAGGGTTCTTAGGGTTTTAGGGTTTGAGGCTTTAGGGCTTTAGGGTTGTTGAGAATTCCTCTGAAAGCTTCGGAGGAGGGTCGGCTTTGGGTACCCCAGTTGCCCTCAACGCGCCTTTTGCCTCGAAACCACCTGAGGATTCAACACCAAGCCAGGAAGACGCAATCAGATTAGACTCATGAAACCTTTTTTTTGTGATGTCATCACCTTGTCGTGAGCCTCGGTTTCGGTGTTCGCAACAAGGAAGCCTGAACCCTCCTAACACCCCCAACAAAGCCTCCGATGGTGGCCGGAGGGGATGACGACAGCAGGGAGATTCCTAAAGCGCGGTGTTTCCATGTGTGGCTGTGCGCCGGGTGATCCAGAAGGCGGCTCCACATGCCGCAGTGTTGCAGTTGCTTCTGGTCTTGGGAGTTCTTGTGCTAACCCAGATCAACCTTGTCTTCCGGCAGCATTGCCAACAGCCTAAACTGAAGTTCGGCATGTGGTTAACAGGGAATCCCAGAAGCACGAGCCCGGCAAGTCTCTCCTCCGGCGCAATTGGACATAAGAGCGAATCATCACGAGTCTTTATGGTACTGTTTGCTAGTTGCAAGGCATGTAACACAGCAGGAGCCATGATTTCGTGAACCTTACGCGTGGCGTGCGATGGAGCACATTAAGGTTCCACCATTTGCGCTAAGTCGCCACTTGTTGTTGCGATCGTTGCCCCACTTGTTGTTGCTCCAGTCCTGCAGGAAATCCCCCCCCCTCCCCTTCAAATTCGGTCCTGACACCCCCCTTCTGCCAAGTCGCTGAGCACCCCCGCAAGAGGAACCTCGGCACCCCACGCAGACTAGACCCTCCAAGAAGACCCGTCAGTCGCCTCAACCCTGAACTGAATGGAGCTCCACGAGCACCGCCAGTCCTCATGCTCCTCTTCCTTCCAGCTCTGCTTCTGCCAGCTCTTGTCTTCTTGCTGGCCTCGGGCCACAACCCCTTAAAATCCGTTGGGATGCAACGGCAGCAAAAATGACAAATACACACGAACTACTTTTCAGGGTCTGAGGGTTTAGGTTTGCTTCAACAGCCGTGCGTCAACATAGCGATGCAAGCAAGCGACACAACCCAAGCAACTTTAAACTTCTCCCGCAGGAGTACTACCAGCCTGCATGTCCGCGAGCCCTGAATTTCCCGAGGCCCTTGTTGAACCCAGACTCTAGGCGTCAGCTTACACAACGGTTCTCGCGAAATCTCTCGCAGCCTTTGAAGCCGGAACCCTATGTAGCAAAAGCCCTAAAACTCAACGGTCAACCCGCACAGCTTGGCCTGTCTCCCACTGCTTCGGCGACCGGCTGCGATCGCACTGATCGCTGTTCTTCCGGTGCTTCCAACCTTGCAGTTGAGGGGACTTCAGGGCCCAGAGGAGGTCGTCCCAACATGAGCTCAAAGACCTACAATTCCTGAGCTACGTCCCTGAGTGCTCAGTAAACCGAATGGATGATTGCAGCGCTTTACATCCGGCGGTCGTCCATGGATAGTGCGCTCCCATGACTTCGTCGATCGCTTCTTGCAGAATGTAACACACACCCTCAGCCCTAAAAGCATGAATCGAGGGTACAACAGTCTTGCCGGAAAGACTGGGCGTCGCCGTACTGGGGCTATAAGTACATGCAAATAAGCTTCTGCCCTTACTAGAATTACTTTAAGTTCCTAAACCCTTAAACCCTAAACCCTAAACAAGAACTCCGCGAAGATGGGCTGGCCTCCTTTGTGTCTTCCGTGCCTCGACCTGACTTTCGCGAGTCGGACTGGGCTTAGCAAGAGACGACCCTGACGACCCTTAGCGGCTGCTTGGGGTTTGGGGTTTGGGGGTTAGGGTTTAGGCCCTAAACCCTAAACCCGAAACCCGTTTGCAACTGAAGCTGACTGCCAGACGCCCGCCTATCCTCGACTACTAGTGACTAAACCCTAAACCCTAAACCCTAAACCCTAAACCCTAAATCCAACTTTGTGGACTTGTGGGTCTGAGCCCTGCTGGACAACGGTGGGCCCCTGGAAGAATCGAAGCCCCAGCCAAGGCTCGGGGCTCCTAAGGCTCAGGGTTTAGGGTTTAGGGTTTAGGGTTTAGGGCTTAGGGCTTAGGGTTTAGGGCTTAGGAATCCGGAAGTTGCGACCCGCAGGTGCCGGAACATCCCCTTTTCGAACCTGGGAGCTGAACCCTAAACCCTAAACCTGAAACCCTAAACCCTAAACCCTATACCCTATACCCTATACCCTAAACCCTAAACCCTAAACCCCAAACCCCTATACCCTATAAACCCTAAACCCTCCTTGTTGCTCGACCTTTTTGTGCCCCTCAACCTGCAAATCTTGAGCCAGAAAACTCCCGAAACCTCAAGCTCTAAACCCTCGTTCCTTTTGCATGTAAGCCTCAGACTCTCCGACCCAAGTTATACATCAAACCCGAAACTGCAAACCGAAAGCTCGAAAGAAACACTCTAACTTACTCAGCTCTACACCTTGTGACACGGCTTATCTGCGAGGTGACGTCGCCACGCAGCCGACCCCCACCCGACTAAGGCCACCATCATGTGGAGAGGAGCTGTTAGACTGGGCGCCCCTGAAAGTTGGGGCTTTAGACGTGTACCCAGTCTCACACAGGCATACAGCGTTGAAAGACTCACTGCCCTACTTCCCATTACCCCTTGCCCCCGACCTTCTTGGCACGGGCCTGGGATTTATGGCTTTATACACTGTCAGGATTATTCTTCTTTCATAGTGGTCTAGTCTGATATGGTTCTTACACTTGGTAGGCGACCCGAAACCCGAAACCCTAAACCCTAAACCCTGAGCCCTAAACCCTAAAGCTTTCTCAGGGACACTAGAGCCAAGAAAAAGGGTGACAGGGTACCTCTGGGCTACCAGGTAGACGAGAGCCGCCCCTGAACACCCTAAACCCTAAACCCTAAACCCTAAACCCTAGACCCTAAACCCTAAACCCTAAACCCTAAACCCTAAACCCTAGACCCTAAGCCCTAAACCCTAAAAAAAGGGGGGGAGACCCTCTGGGCCCCCCTGGCGAGGCCAGGAGATCGTCCACGGGCGCGCGCTCGGCAAACAACCTCGGCCACAGGAGCTCCTGGAGCTGGGCTTTTGTCTTCAATCTTGGCTTGGCTTACCACCTATGTATAGTACATACATATATTAAGTATTTCTAATAATCATAAGAAGAAGAAGAAGAAAAAGAGTAATGAAGAGTAAGACAAAGAGTGAGAGTAAGAGTAAGAGTAAGGGCGCGTTTTAAAAGGCTTAGGGGCTTGGGGTCTGGGGTTTCCTGACTAGGCTAGTTCATCTCACCCATCGCCATTCCTGCCGTTCACCCACTCACAGGTGTTCGTCATGCTTGTCCTGCGGTTTCGTTTGCCGATGGCAAGGTCTGGTAGCTCTTCTGAACTAACGCACCAAGCCCTACACACCCAGCCTGCGACAATAAAACGATGAAAGCTTATAGGGTTCTTAAGGGAGGGGGGTTTCAAGGGGCATATAACCCAAGGTTCCCTAGTGCTCTCTACTACTCCCCAAGCTTCCCTCAGGTTGCCTAGGTACCCCCATGAACTATGAACCCCTCCCTGAAGAACCCTGCTTACAAAGCTGAGGAGGAGAACTCTTCGAGTGCCGACTGCTTCTTCTCCTCTTCTGGGTCGGGCCTTCCAGCACATCGAGGGTGCAACTTTGACCACTATTTGCTTAAGAACCACCCCAAAACATTCTTCCTGATAAGGCAGTACAGGGATTCTTGTCCTGTGTTTTTGGGGGGCTCTTAAGCAAATGGTAGTTCATGTTGAAATCAAAAGCTGGGGATCCTGTTCAACTATACAGACAGGTGGACCCTCCAAAAATGACTCCCACCACATGTCAAGAGACGAAACGCGAAGCATGCGCCACCCCAATACGAAACCTAAACCCGCTAAACCCCTTGCAAAAGAGGCACCATTGCACATGCCGTCGGCACAACCAGCCCCCCCAAAACCCAGCAGCCCCTCCTCACCCTAAACCCCAAACCCCAAACCCCTGGGCACGTAGCACACTCTTGGGCCCTCAAGCACTCGCATCCCGAAGCCCATGGACCCCGAGTTGCCCACCTTTGGACCCCGGAAGCCCCGAGCCGATCGGCTTCTGATTCTTAAAATCCCTTTAGGGTTTAGGGTTTAGGGTTTAGGGTTTAGGGTTTAGGGTTTAGGGTTTAGGGTTTAGGGTTTAGGGTTTAGGGTTTAGGGTTTAGGGTTACTCTTCAACACATCTGCTGTGTGGCAACGAGTACGACCGTGGTCTGGCCAGTTGACCTCCACCCCCCTTGTGACCATGTGGGGTCCTCATGCCCCTTGTAGCTTTGTAAAGCATAGCTGCAGCTGGGCAGCTGCTCTCTGTCGAAGCCTCTTATGAGCAGTATAGCGTTCATAGAAAGCCTCTGGCATAAGACTCAAAGAGGGCAATCACCCTAAACCCTAAACCCTAAACCCCAAACCTTACACCCTAAACCCTAAACCCTGTAACTGAACCTGGCTTCAAGAGCAGAGACCCCGCGCTGGTCAGGTATGTGAGGCTGGCTGTCGATGGCCGCCTGGCAGGACTTCGGCTGTTCTTCTCTTCCCTAAACCCTAAACCCTAAACCCTAAACCCTAAACCCTAAACCCGAAACCCTTAGCCTTCTAAGAAGCCCCCACCCCAAAAAACAACAAAAAGAGGAGAGCAATCCTCATATGACCCTTATAAAGAATGAAGACAATAATCCCTATATTGTGCCCTGATAAGGCAACTTCCTGTGAGAGTAATGAGTCGTGTGGGCATAGCACTGGTTGGGAGGGGTGAACATGAAGAACCCTAAACCCTAAACCCTAAACCCTAAACCGTGTCTTTTTTTGTTAGTTAGCTGACTGTCCTTGTGAAGTTGAGGGCTGAGGTTAGGCGCAGGCTTTCTTTGAAGACTTAGGGAGCCATCGCAACTCGTTCATTCAAAACGTCGAGCCTGGAACGCTCTCTGCGCAGCCCTCACAGGACAATGCAATAACATTAGCCAGAGATACAGTGGCTGTGTTTCCGACCTGCAGGACAGCTTGAGGAAAAAGAAAGCTAGCTGAACGCATTATGACTCTGCAGCACAGCTGCACGAGCGTCGCAGCAAAGCTTTCACATCAAGAGCAAAAAGAACATTGTTGCTGGTCGGGGATGTCTTTGTTCCACCCTGCCTCCTCATGCCACAGAACCGACCGTTTCTTGCTGTCGCTTGCATGTACTCCCATTGCCATTTAATGTTGAAATCGTCTAACTCTGAAGCTTGCAGAGAGACCTCAAGCCTGAGTATGCCGCCTGAGAAGCAGGCCCCTGCAAACTGGTTCCAGGGTGGCGGTCTGATACGTACACATACACACATCAGCATGCTGCTCAGTGGCGAAACCCTCATCCTGAACTCCCTGGGGCCCCAAGGCCGACAAACCCTAAGGACCAGAATGAACAATAAATCTGCAAAAAAAAAGAAAAGAAGGCACTTTGTTGTAGGTATACCGTGATTTTGAAGTGTCTCAACATTTTTTGCTCCCGCCTACAGCTGGGGCAACTGCACTGATAAATCAATAAGAAACAGTTTGCCCAACACAAAGCTAAAGCGTATATACTTACATCAAAACATTCATTCGTTCACGGGCTATAAATAGGCTGATAGACAGCTTGAAGATTGTAAACAAGCCAATAAATCAGACACAATCACAAGCATACATAACAAACATATAGAGGTATGAGTATGTAATATAGACATATGTATATATACATAAATATAAATATATGTATATATATATATATATATATATATATATATGAAAACTATATATATATATATATATATATATATGCATATATGTATGCACATTATACATGCTGTTGGGGGCGGGGGGCGGGGGCACCCCTGCCAGGGCCCCAGCGCCCTGCAATTGCCAGGCTGGCACGGCCGTGCCGCGCCCGCGCCCCCGGGGGCCTGCAAGAACAAGCGTTCTTGAGGGTTTAGGGTTTGGGGGTTTTTTGGGGGTTTAGGGTTAAGGATTTAGGGTTTGAGGGTTTTAGAGTTTAGGGCCTTTTAGGCTTTAAGGTTTTTCATCCAGAAAGCCCCTGACCCTTCACCCGAAAGACCCCAGACTATCACTCGTTTTGGTCTTGGCTCTTCAGACTTCTCCAGCAAGTCTTCGGTCTTACAGGCTTTGGGGTTTTTTCGAAGGGGTCCCCGGCGTGTTTTGCCCAGTACAGCTTTTGGCTCTCTTCTCCCACCAATGAGGGGCTCTATATGCCAGGCGCCTAGTGGCGAGGGCGATCGCTCCTTTGGCGGCTGGGCCGGCGGGGCCTTGGCCGTGGCACCTGGCAGGATCATCCCAGCCATTTCTTCACTTTTGAGGTTTCAGATAGCACTGGTTAACACGAGGTCCTGGCCTCGCTCTTCGGCATCGCTCTGGTCCGGGATGCTCGGAGGCGGCGGGTCCGAGGGACCGCGGGTCATCCAGGCAGGCTGGGTGGTCCTGGGGCGCAAGCACGCGTGCCGGCAAGACCCAAAAACCTCGAAATTCTCCAAGCCCCCAGCGCTCGCCCGCGGCCCGAGGGACCCCTCACCTGGTTGTTTTGGCTGGAGTTTTGCCAGTTGAGTGGGGCTTCGGGGGGCTGTTTGAGGGCTGGGTTCTTGGAGGTGCTGGTCCGAGAGCGACGTCACAACAATCTTATGAACAATTCATGGGTAGTTATAACGAGGGGTACAAGTACCTTAAGTACGGCTAGAAGTATGGTTACCCAATTTATAACCCTACTTATGACTACCCATGAACCTCCAAGTAGCCATCAAAAAGTGCCCGAAACCCTAAACCCTAAACCCTAATCAAATCTGGTCTGCTGATTCTCTGATGCTCTGTAATAGTGTGACCCTGCCGAGTTGCGGGTGATCGGGCGCGCTCTTCAGCTTCCCGTCGCTCCTCTAAACCCTACACCCTGATCCGTAAACCCTAAACCCTAAACCGCAAACCCTAAACCCTAAACCCTAAACCCTAAACCCTAACCGTCTTTCTGGGGGTCTACAGAGCACGTGCAGAAGTGTTGGGCAGGCTCGACCTAGGGGACCTGGGACGTTGACAAGATGAAACTTGTCGGTGTCCTGTCGAATGGTGAACTTCAACCTGCAGTCCCAAGCTTCAAAGCATTCCCTCAACTTGCCTTAAACCCTGAACTCCCAACCCTAGACTTGCCCCAAACCCTGAGCTCTCCCCCTAAACCCGGATGGCTCAACAAAAACGAGCTGGTGATCTGGAACTTCTGAGACTTGAGAGACTCCATAGGATTCCTTGAGCAATACAGGAATTTGGCGGCAACCCTAAACCCCAAACTCTAATTCATTGAGTCCAAATGCCCAAAATGAGTGTTGAGCTAGAGACCCGGCCCCCACCGAAAACAGAAGCTTGAAATTCGCTGGAACCCTATACCAACCTCATAACCCGGAGAGCCCAATACCCCTTGACTGTGGGATATACATTTACAAATATACAGGGCTCCTGAATGTGGTTTAAGTTTGAGGTATACTATATTCTTGCTTAAGGGGTATTGAGCTCTTTGGGAACCTCCTAGTGGAAACTCGGACTTAGGTCTGCGAGTCTTTTCCTCCTCCTCAGACTTCTTCGGAGGCTGCCAGTTCACTTCGATGGTGTTTGCCCCCGTCTTGCCTGGCTACTTAGGGAGTTTAGGGTTTAGGACAAAGGGTCCAGGGCTTAGGGTTTTGCCAAACAAGCTAGGAATAGAACAGGTGCCCGTCGCTGTTGTTGCTTCATGGGGGTGACCTATGCCTGGAGAAGGCGTCCACTCGCATTACCTTGGGGACCAAATCAACCCTAAAAGGGTTTGGGGTTCGTATACCTTAGTAGGAATTCTAGTACTAGAGAAGAGGGTATATGACGCCCAATTTTAGGGTTCATTTTGTCCCCAAGCTAGCGACACTCCAAGGGGAGTGGCGTGTTGTGAGCTGGCGTCAACATTGGCGTGCAGCTGGAGAAGTACACACTGCCAGCCTGTGTCGGCCGGAGATGGACTCTCACACAAGGATGAGTCTCACACCATGACGCTGCACCCTACAGCAAACCAAGAACCCTTCAACAGCCCAAGAACCACAACCCCCAAAAGCACTGCCGCCATTGAAAAACCCTCCCTTTTGGTGCCTCCGGACTCTCAGCAAGTGCTGCTTACAATAGCCCTCCCCCCCCCCCCCCCCCCCGCCGCCGCCTGATTTTAAACCCGAGGCAGAGACCGAAACCCTGAACCCTAACCCCTAAACTGAAGACGGCCCCTGAGGCGCTGGCCATTGATCATCTCCTCGGCCTCAGATCCGGTCTTGACGTGAGACTCTTCCCCCCCATCCCCGGCCCGAGACGTACCAACTCATCATAGAAGCTTCCCCGATTGACCCCTCCCCATGGGGAGGGGAGGGGCTGCCCGAAGGCGTGCGTTACCTGGTTAGTATCTCTCTCTCTCTCTCTCTGGCTCTCTCTGCACGCATTCCCCCCCCCCCCAAAGCGGAGCCGCCTGGAAAATAATGACAAGGTTCATGACATACAATGAAAAGTTCGCACCTTCAGGATAAACCACACCACAGAGCCCCTGGCAGAGAGGTGAGTCCCGCGTAGATCGATTTCGCTTCTCTTCTTCTTCTTCTTTTTCTTCTTCTTCTTCTTCTTTCTTCTTTCTTCTTCTGCTGGGCTTGAAGGGTAGGGCAGGTGTCCCTACTCCCTGGCGCGCGAGCGCGCCCGATCACGTTCGAAGTCGGTGATCTCGCTCTCTCTCGCTCTCTCTTTCCCCCACCCTCTCTCTCTCTGCACGCTTAGCCCCCCCCCCCCCCGAAGGGAAGGCTGCGCGCGAGTCCGAAGGTTAGTCTGATTGGGACTACGTACCACGGTTTTCGCGGTCCTCGCTCTTACGCAACACTTCCATCAGGTCTTTGTGGCTTTCCCTATCTATATTTTTTCTGTCATGGGGCCTCGGGGACGAGCCCCCAGCGCACTCTGCGCTTTGGTGGCATGTGTGTTTTCCCGGAACTTGGGGAGGCAGATGTCCTAACCCCCATTACTTCCCCCATTTCTTGGGGGAGACGCCCCCCCTCCCCCGCATCAGTCCATCCCCAAGTTCAGTCTGTGTACTTTCACCCGGGTTAGGGTTTAGGGTTTAGGGCTTCGGGTTTAGGGCTTAGGGCTTAGGGCTAAGAGTTTAGGGTTTAGGGTTTAGGGGTTCAGGGGTGCCTGGAAAACAAAACCATGCCGTTGGAGGGGAAAAACGTGCATGGTTCTCCGATTGGCGCGGACAGTTGAGTCCTCTCTTGTTTTTGGGAAAAGGGGGGGCGGAGGGGGGGCGGGGGGGGGGGTAACGGTTCTCAAGCCAATCCCTTCAGGCCTCAACTGAGCGTCTGGCGTCTGAGATTGTTGTTCCTGGACCGTTTTTGGGTCAGGCCTCTTTTTTTATCAACCTCTTTCCACAAGGGACTCGACTGCTGCCCTTTCTGCCCAGCCCGCCCCCACACCACAGTGCCTATGACTGCAGGGCGAGAGTCGCCACTTCGCGGCACCAAGCTTCAGGCACAACTTGATAGGACACTACTCTCTGGAATGCTTTGTATAGCTTGACAGTGACATCATAGAGGGTATGCTCAAAGATCTCAAAAGCAGTATGCGCGAAGAGAACTTGGAAAGACAGCCAGGTGTCCACATATCTGAGATGACAAATGACGAAGTGCAAAACGGAGTAAAGGTCCTCATGCCGTGCAAATGTCAGACTTTGCCAGCCGTCCGTGACATCCAGCCACACCACAGCCCAAGAATCCGAACGCAGCAGCACGAAGAGACTCAACCCCCAGTGGCACTCATGAGTTACAGCACGCTGCCATCTCAGCCAATCAGTAGTAGGCTTCGCATAGTGCGGGGGCAACCAGTAGAGCTCAACTATTCTTGACCCATGATTGGACCAAAGCTCCCTATTTGATGCGAGATCTCGTAGTTCAGACCAACTTGGACCTTCAGACGAGGCACACAGTCCTGTAGCACGCACAACATGATGTATCCGCTGGAAGAGCATGTTTCTGGGCCCAGGTCTTACCTGACGCCACCTACCAAGCACTCCTTGCTGCAACGCAATGGACGGCATGGAGTCCTCTCGCATTCTTAGCACATGACCCACATAGTTCCACTTTCGCTGTATCCAAGCTTGAGTCACTGCAGCCCTACCATCAAGATGATGCAAGAGAGCCGCCGTGCGTCGACGCAAGAGATTGAGAGGCAGGGCCGAATTGGAGTCAAGCCAGGCCGGAATGTACAGTTTGAGGACAGCTATAGCAGCGTCGTTCTGAAGCTTCGATATACCGTCAATATGCTTCTGTTTGGGTGAAAGGAGAGGCGAAATCCATAACCACTTTGCATGGATATACTTGTGCAAAATGTTGAGGCACGCAATGCTTTGATTCCAATTGAGCTTGCGAGTGATCGAAGCAAGTTGTTCTAACCCTTGAAAGACAGCACGCCTGCAGAAACCCACCAGGGCATCGTTCAAGTCTTCTGCTTGAGGGCTCAGGGCGTCAAAGTGCGACACAGTCTTTCGTAGATATTTGGCCTCGCTAGCCCACTTGCACTGCCGTAGCGGAGAGTCCTCAGGGACGGAGTGACCTCCTTCTGCCAAGAGCGAAGGAGTCGAAAACACAACTGTCTTGTCTAAATTGAGATGAAGGCCCGCAGCTGACAGTTGATGACAGAGAAAAGAGAAAGCATCATGCGCCTGTTCCCAGCCACCATATATAACCAGACAGTCATCAACAAATAACCAACCTGGCACTCCATGTAAGTTGCTTGTGCTACGGTCCTGGAATATACCTGAAATAACTGCATCGAAGTAGTGCGAGAAAACCGTAGAGGAGTGACTCCCCCCTTGTTGGACTCCTATGTTTGCCTCCAGCTGCCAACTGCGTCCCTCAAACTCAAAGTTTAAAGTGGGATGCAGAAGCATGTGACAAAGTCTCAGCGCTTCAGGAGCGTGACTTGCCGGGGTCACATCTATGATGTGCTGAAGAAGATGCTGATATCGCACGCTGTCAAAAGCTTTTTTAATGTCCAGGCTGACGTAGATGCATGGGGCACCCTGCAGGGACTCACGCTCCAGGAACGAGTGGACACCCAGAAGCGCATGGAGCACTTGGCCACCAGGTAGCCCACCGTACTGGTGTTTCGGCGGGGGCCAAACATCCAAAAGTCTGGAGACAAGCAGTTTGCAGAACAACTTGTGCATGGTTTCTAGCATGCAAATAGGTCGGAGATCACTAGGACCACAAACTTGTTGGAGTTTGGGCACGAGAGCCACCATGCATTGCTTGAAATTCTGCATGTCATCAGAACCATGATGTAAAAGTGCCGTCAGGAAGTGTTGCAGAATATCAATACCCTCGTCAGTTTGGATGAGGCTTCTGAGAAATTCATTGCTCATGCCAGTGGGCCCGGCAGTCTTGTTTAGTTTGAGGGCATGCACCGCAGACCGAAAATCACATCCTGTGTGAAAGGCACGCAATTAGTAGGAGAGCACAATTCACGCAGAGTACGCAGACACCTCTTGACTGCTTCATCGTCTTCGTTCTCACTCGGTTGTGAGAACACCTGCGAAAAGTGATCTTTGACCTCCGTCGCAGCGGCTTGGGCACCACCCACTCGAGCGACAAACGATTTTGTGGAAGGTCTGGGATTTTGCTTCTTGCGGACATAGTCAATGGCACCGAAATCTCCCGACGCAGCTTGAGACTCAAGCTTGCTCCACCAGTGAAGTCTGGCGAGGTGTCTTTGTGTCAGTATCTCCTTCGTCAGCCGACTACGCTCCTGCACCTCACCACAACTCCTACGTTGTTTACAAAGGTCCTTGACGAAAGGTGGATCCACATACTTACAACTTCTTCGGGGAACAGAAACCTGTCGAGACATAGCACATAACGCCTCCCACTGTTGAGAGGGGCTGTATTGCTGCACAAAGACATCTCGCTGAGCCGCAGCAAGCTGGGCGACATGTGCTGCGTCAACCACCCATTTCCGGCAAGGTCTTCTGTGCCAGGTCTGCGTGCGGAGCTCTATCGGATTTGAGGTCGCATACATTAGGATAGAACAACATACAAGGTCGTGATCAGAGGGAAGCTCTATACGCGAGCCACTCACCACATTGGTATCGTCCCCATAGTCAACATCAACAAGCAAGGCTTTCATTCTATCATTGAGAATGAAGTAGTCGTATGTTCTGGAGCTCACTCTGCCATGCCAAGTACTGCACTCAGACTGTTTGCAGCACACGCCAAGGGATGCAAGTTCAATCTGGAGGGCAGCCCCCCTATCATCGCAATCACCTTTCCACTCGCAGTTGAAATCTCCCGCAACAATAACTGCAATCGATGAATACTTCGTGAAAATATGGTTCAACTCTGCACATGCAAGCTCAAATTCACCATCAGGCCTATCTTTATGCGGAAAATGCACGTTAACGAAAACCACCTCGCATCCAGAATCCAAGGTGAAGCGAACTGCAGCAAATCTCCTCCCATGCCAGGACTCAGAAATAAATTTCACGGATTGCCTGTCAAGAAGGATCACATTGCCTAAGTGCGAATCACAGGACGAGGAGCCAAGGATATGATAGTCGTCAAGTTCTGAGGCCTCTGGAGCCTCAATGGTCGCTAAGGAGCCATCTGCGTTGGCTGGTGGAATGTTGCATCCAACCTCCTGTACACCCAGCATGTCGAATCCATCAGGATATAATGACAGCCAGTCTCCAAGCCTGGAGACTCCCTTACCTTGAACATTCCACGTACCAAATCTATACAGCTTATGCACCATTCCACTTTGCGAATTAAATGTTTCGGCTCTTCCCGCTTTTCAGCTTGACCCCCTCTTGCCAGGACTCTCCTCCCCAGTGAAAGAAAATGATTGAGGCATCAATGCGTCTTCTGCTCGTTCATCTTGCTCGGTCATGGAGAAGTTCTAAACCCCCTACCTCACCTGCATGGTTTTAAGCCGAAACACTTGAGCCAAAATGGCTACGGCTCTAAAACCCGAAACCCTAAAACCATTTGGCATGAACCCTTAACCCTAAACCAACTCCCGCAGTTGGAGCCAAGCTGCGTAGTTGGAGCCTCGCCGATTCCGGCCTGATTGCCGCACTCCGCAGCTGGATTTGTGTTGGGGTTTGCAGGCTGTTGTGCACTGTTTAGGGTTTAGGTTGTTTTTTAAGGGATTTTTTTTGCCGCCCGCCTAGCTGAACTGAAGGGTTTAGGGCTTGAGGTGTTTTAGGGTTTTAGAGTTTAGGGTTGAAGTACAAAATTGCGTCCCCGTAACTCCCCGTCGGTGTAAGTCATATGCAGTTCCGACGCGTGCTGCATGACTTGTCCCTCCACACCTCATCACCCCGCAACGCCCCAGAGTCCTGCTGATGGGCGATAGTTTTGGGGGTCTACAAACTCCATACCCTTCTGCGTCCTTCTTTCAAACTAAACCAATCCTCGAACTCGGAACGCCCGACATGGGCCAAGCTCATGTCCACACATGACAACAAATAAGGAGTCACGCTTTGGCAGCCGTCTGTTGCCCACATTGACAAGCCGAAGCCCCTCACCCAAATTCATACCTGACTCAGTGCTTAGTGCCCGCCGTCGCCTCTTTGCTGTCTGTTACCGCCTTGCGAACGGGTCTGCTTTGCTGAGGCTCTACACCAAGGCAGGATGATGGGGCACAGACCTGTCGGTGGTGCATAGAAGGAGGAAGGTGTTGGTAGAAGCAGCTCCAACCAACCGTAGTTAGAGATAAACGGCCCCTCCATGTAGGCTTCAGCCAGCTTAGTCCAACACTGCTCAAGTCATGCCTTTTGATGTTGAAAGAGGCCCCGTTCCCTTTCGACCCCCCAAACTCTTAAGAGAGGCACGGGCCTTCTGGCACTCCCACAAAAAATATACACACACACTCACACACACTCACACACACACACACACACACACACACACACATATATATATATATGTACATACACACACATACACACATACACACATACACACATACACCCACACACATACATACATACATACATACATACATACATACATACTAATCGCACCGGCAGCTGAGAGATCCAGCATGAGTTCCAACACAGCCATGCAATTTACATCGTCCCCAACACACACCTTTTATGCAATCTCAAACTCAGCAACCTTTCTGGCATACCTCAACACCAAGAAAACAGCGACCGCAGCCCAGCTGTTTATGCTCCCACCCGCCATGCCCACACTTGCCAGATCGTCAATTTCTCGCGCACCATGCGTTCCGAGCTGGACGGCCCTCATCCGCCGCCCCTTCTTCAGCCAGAGTGTAGCATCGCACACGCTGCTAACCTACCACAAATACCCATCGTTTAGAGGAGCCTTCACATCCGGCCAAATGCCACACCAGGGCAAACTTGTGCAACTACCCTGACCCTTTTCTCAACTCTTCAAAGACCCTTCTGAGCCCAAACCCCAAGCCTATGTTCCCTATAAACCCGTTTAACATCTTTTAACCCTCTAAAACCCTATTGAAAACCACACTATACACCACATGATGAACCCTAACCCAAGGAGACCAAGTCGGAAGCTCTCAGAAGCCGCCAACAGAGGAGACCAGAGCGGTGGGGATGTCAATGCAGAGGCGCCAGAATTGGTCCTTGATTTGGGGCGGGGGGGGGGGGGGGGGGGTTTTGAGGGCTGCTCAACAGCGATCCTCTGGGGGGGGGGGGGGCCCTGGGTGCCTGATTGCGACTCGTACATACATACATACATACATACATACATACATACATACATACATACATACATACATACATACATACACATCTACACATCTACACATCTACACATCTACATATACACATACATTTACAAATACATCTATATATATATATATATTTATGTATTTATTTATTTATTTATGTGGAAAAAATATGTATATGTATGTATATATATATATATATATATATATCTACATACACCTATGTGTGTACATTTACATGCGCCTACGTGAGTGTGTATATATATAGGTATGTATAAGTGACTTATTTTATGTTAATATGTATATACATACACCCATGTGTATTTCTAATCTGCATATACTACTATGTGCTTAAGAACCCCAAAAGAATAACAAAGACCACAAGCCCTACATTACCCTTAATCGGGAAGAATATTTCCATTTTTTCGGGGTTCTTAAGCAATTAGTAGTATAATGTAGTAGAGGTTCTTAGGCAATTAGTAGTATAGTCGTACACACGTTAAGGTCAAATTCTGTAGGCCCTGACGTCCCCCAATTCTCGGCGAAGGGGCGCAGTCCAGATGTGAAAGCTCCTCATGGCCTCAGCCGTCGCTTAGGGTTTAGGTAGTTTAGGGTTTAGAGTTTAGGGTGAGCTTTTGCTGACGTGGGCTTCGGGGTTGGCTACTTGGGGGGGATCAGGATTTAGAGCACCTCGTTGCCACATACCTCCACGCTCAATCCCAGTGGCATCGCTTTCTCTCAACCCGGCGCTTCTTTTGCGAAGCCCAGCTTTTCTCTGTTGCCCCGAAAAGTGGCTCTGAGGACCGACGAGCGGCGCAGTATCGGGGCGCCCGCGTTGAGGGTGCTCGCAATGGCTTGGGATTTCGGGTCGATGGCAACCCGATACTGAAGCTGAGCCGGCCTAGCTAGCTATGGACCGAAACGATTGCACCGGCGTCTGTTGCAGAGCGCGCACGTGCCAGGAGAGATCGTCATCGGAGAGCAGGCTTGACTTCAGATCCGTAGATGGTTTCCTGTTTCTATATGATGCAGAGGCCCGCCGTTGAGGACCTGCCGGTTTCCTGTACAGTCCGGCAATCTTCTGCAACTTGCAGCAAAAGCGTTTACTTGGAGATTGGAAGTGGCCCCAGCAGTGCTGGGAAAAAGCTGTACACACTGCACGTGCACGCCACAAGAAAGACCCTTAAAGCAGTGCATGTCGCTAAGGCTATAGGTGTACGACATCTCGCCCAATTGCGGCTACAACAGGTATGTCTGTCCGCCACTGGACACACCTAAAAGCACCCACCTCTTCTCCACTTACCCCTTCTGTTGGTACCCATGTCCAGGCTCGGCGTCAGCACCCAGCGCGACCATCGCGTCTCGCACAGTCATCGTCGGGGCCTGAAGGGGGAAGTTGGGGACAAACAGCTTGCTTCCATCCGCCGAAGCAAAATCAGCAGAAAACAACCCTTCAGACCTTCCCGCTCATGGTTCGTTGTAGCACAAATCAAGGGGCTCCGGCCCCAATAGGTTCATTCACCCCAACCCAGGCCAGATGTCGCCATTGGCTCAAAGCGCAAAGGCGTACACGTCCCCGTGACCCCCAAACCCTAAACACTAAACCCCCGCCTTCTTCAACCCTAAACCCTAAACCCTAAACTCTAAACTCTAAACTCTAAAGCCTAAACCCTAAACCCTAAACCCTAAACCCTAAAACAGCTCAGGGGGCTTTCGGGATCTTGCGGGCTTCAGCCGGGGCTTCAGTCGGTCCTGCTGCACAGACGGGCCGCCAGGCAGGACCAGCTGGCAGGCCACGTTCCTGGAGCGGCTTACGGCTTAGGGTTTAGGGTTGAGGGCACACACACACACAAAGACACACACACACACACACACACACACACACGATACTCGATACATGCCTACATGTAAATATATATATATATATATGTGTGTGTGTGTGTGTGCACATATATATATATATGTATATATGTGTATACACATGTTGCAAAGAAAAAACCGTACTTGCACGTTAACTTGACATTGTGCTACTTGTTTATTCAGTATTAGTATTGGTATGTAAACATGTCTATCTATGTATATAAATATAAATATATATATATATATATATATATGTCTCTCTGTGCCGTTGCATCCAGAAAACATATGTTTCTGTGTATATATATACATGTACTTATCTATTTGCTTTTCTTTCTCTACTTACTTTTGTTTATTCATATTCATATTCATATTCATATTCATATTCATATTCATATGTGTATAATCATGCAAGGTTGCGGTTGGCTGCTGGAAAGGCACAGCCGCCGGTCCGCCATGGCGCTGAGGGTGTGCATGGTGCAGCTCGCCTGCGTGTGGGGACTCGAGGCCCATCTCTGTGGCAACAACTATTGCCAGACTAGCCCTAAACCCTAAACCCTAAACCCTAAGCCCTAAACCCTAAATAATACCGCCTTTGGGTCCGAGGGTTGCGGAGCCTCCGGGCTCCGGGTGTAGGGTCTCTCCAGGCAGGGCCCATTCCGGACTCCGGCTCAAGGCCTCGGGGCCTCTCGGGGGCTCTCGGCTCGGGCCTCGCAGGCGTAGGCTCCAGTCTTACCAGGGAGATTTACGAAGTGGGCAGAGAAGTCTGCAAGTGGGTTCAGGTTCAGGGTTTCGGGTTCTTTAACTTTGTTAGGGCTGAGGACGTATGGCTTGCGAGCTAGGGTGTCAGCTTCTATTGTAGCCTTTTGGCTTGAGGGTGTCTTTAGGGCTTCCCAACTCTGATTTCATCCTGCCTCGACATCCAGCTCCGCGATCAGCTCGCCCGAGAAACTCATTAACCTGGGCGGTGTGTTAAGGGGCCCCAAAAATAATACCTACTAAGGGCCTATAAGGCCGTGTTTTGGGAATCTGGGTCCTTGCACCCCCCCCCCCCCCCCTACCTTACACCCTCCTGGGCGGCTTAGAGGGCTTCGGCGCCACAACAAGGCCCACACGCTCTGCTCAAGCCAAAATTGTGCCCCAAGCTCCTACAACTAACACAAGCAGGAACCAGAAAGGACGCCAAGAAAGCTGATCGCTCTTCACTCGCAGAAGAACCAAGGAGTTTCGGTAAAGTCGTGGGCCCATGTTGGGTGTGCATGGTATGGGGCAATCGACACCCTGAGCGCCAGCGAACAACCTAGGGCATCCACGAAACTCGCTGCCAAACGCGTCACCACCCCACCCACAAAACAGCCACACTCGAATTGGATTAACACAACGGTGGACCCTGGAAACCCTGAAACCGGCCGCATCGTGGACAGGCGGCTGTGCTTGGATTGCTTCGCCGGCCACCCGAAACTGCAGCTGGCAAATCCGCTCGCTCACCGGGAGAAAGGCCTGGGCTTGTTGCGGGCTTGAGAGCTTTAGTATGTGGGTTTAGGGCTGCGGAGCCTTGCGGGTTTAGGGCTGTAGGAGTTTAGGCTCCTTGGAAGGAGCCCTCTCAAAGGTTCGGGTAGCCCACGAAGCGCTACACCGTCAGGCCAGCGCTTCGTGTGCGCCTAGGGCCTGCTTAATCGGGCTTATCACTGAACTTCCCTAAACCCTAAACCCTAAGCGCGAAACCCCAAACCCCCTGAAGCATGGACTGAGGGGCGGCGCAGGCACGTCTGCACAGAATCTACAGGAATCGAACCTCCGGATTCCCTACTAGGATTTCGTGAGCTTCGAGGCCTTTTTGAGGGCATGGAATGGAAGGAGCCGGGTTTTAGTAGAGGCTGCTAAGGAACTTACATGCAAAGTGCCAGGAGAATGGCACCAGATCATTTGCCATGAAGCCCCAAAGGTAGCGCAATTGAAACGTCTTAACCAGAACTCAGTATTCTCTTCCTTGTCAAGAGCTATGAGAGATTTTTCCTTCTGATACACTTCTCGATGTGCGCGTGTCGTCCTTATGGGGGATTTAAAGATTGGGCTTGGGATCCTTTCAGCGATTGCACAAACCCAACGCAGGTTGAAGGCTTAGGTTAAGGGTTAAGGGTTTGGGGTTAGGGTTGAAGGTTCCGTACTCGAAAGCCAAAGCATCCTCCTGTCATAGGATGTCGGGGGTCAAGTGGGGCCAGGAGCCTCCCAAGGATCCTACTACTCTTCTGCCCTTTAGGGTTTAGGGAAGGTATCCTCCTAGTTTGTGGGCTAGGGGTTTGCCTAACTTTCGTAACACCTGGAATCTGAAACCAGTAACCCCCAAACCCTAAACCCTAAACCCTAAGCCCTGAACCCTAATCCCCTAACTGGGAGCCCGTGCCGGATTGGGGACGTACTTCTTTGGTACGCCCTGGGCCTTCGACCACTGCTTCCTCGGCAGATGCCCCTCAACCACCAGTCTCTGCCCCACATCCCACGACGAAAGTATGCCGGGTCAGCATGGTTACTTCCTCTCTGCATGCAGAGGTCGGGGGCCCCTGAACCCTAAACCCTAAACCCTAAAATCTTCTCAATCTTCTCCTCAAAGCCTGAAACCCGACAAATCGAGAAAAAAAAAAAAAAAAAACAGGGCGGCCCCTCGCTCTAAACCCTGAACTTGCCTGAGCCAAACTAGGGTTTAGGGTGTAGGGTCTAGGGTCGAGGGTTTAGGGTTTAGGATCGAGGGATTAGGGTTTAGGGTTAGGTTGAAGTGGAAGGCTGCAAGAAAAGCGGCCCGACCAGCAAGTCGCCCGTCGGCACATGGACAGCACAACCATCGCTCCTTTCAGAGGAGGGTTTAGGGTTTAGGGTGTAGGGTTTAGCATGGTCGTGGCCAGGAGTAGGGGCCGGGACTGCACAGCTATGCCTCCAAGCAACTGCAGTCCTACTGGCCACACGGTGTGACACACATGCACGACAGTGCTTTGACCCTTGGTTGCACAGCCATGGGCGCAAACCCCTGAATCTTGAAACCTCCTGTGGTTAACCCCGATAAACTCAGTTGCTCGTCAGCCACGACTTGCCCTGAACCCTCAAATTAGAGCCCAATCCATTTAAAAAAATTAAAAAAAAAACAAAAAAAAAAAAAAAAAACGCCCTGAGCCGTAAGCCATCCCCTTCCACCCCTTGTTCCTGACCCTTGGAATTCGGCCCCATCGTAGCACCTGTAGAAGGAACCGCGCCCCCAATGTTGGCATCAGCTCGGTGCTTTTCTAATCCAGGCCCCAAACCCTAAACCCTAAACCCCAAACCCTAAACCCTAAACCCTAAACCCTAAACCCTAAACCCTAACTTCCGTGAATCCAGGCCGAAGCGAGGGTTCCGCCAGCAGGAAGCTCCGGCCCCACATCCGACCACTTGACCATTTCGGGGTGTTTTGCCGCACTTCGCCTCAGGAGTTCCTTCGACATGCTGAAAGCTGTTCCCTTCGGAGCCAGCCAGAACAACCAGCCCCGGAGATTTTCTTGGCGGCTGGGAGTCTTCATTTCGTCCCGAACCAAAATCCCTAAACCCGAAACCCTGATGGACCCCAGGTCGGCGTGCCTTATCAGTGCGGCATGGAAGGAGCCGGCCTGGCGCGCGCCCAGGTGTGATGCCCACAGGACCCGGGAGTAACCTAGGAATAAGCAGGGTACCTGGTTTTAAGGGGATTATAAGGGAGCCTCAACCCTTTAACAAAAAAGGAAAAAGGGCATACTCCCGGTCCCAGCCCATCAATGTGTCAAGAGATTTTGCCCAGGTGCTGCTGCTCGCGTGTACGAAAGGCCGGGGGGAAGCTCAGGCAGACTGTACCTGTGCTGAGTTCCGCTTTAGCAGACGGACCCGAGGCACAGCGGATAGCTGAATGCCACCCCTGAAAAAATCAGGCATGCTGACTGCTTTGCCTTTGCCAAGATCATGCTTCATCTCAAGCCTCAACGTCTTTTACCTATCAAGCCTCATAATGTTGCGCCGTGCAGCTCCTGGTCGCCGTACCTCGGAATTGCTCGGACGTCTAGATGGGGTTTGAGGAAGGGGACCCCCAATGTAGATCCCCAGATAGTAGCATCCCCCCATAATGGGAGCCCCATCATTAAGGTACCCGTAATTTCGGAAACCCATGGAAAACCCCATATGGGCTTGTAGGGCTGATGGCGGTCCGGTGACCCATCTTGATCCTTTCATTGATTTTCATTGCTGTGCCTTGCCTTTCGGTGCCCCGTCCTCTGGCAAACCCTAATCACATGACACCCTAACGGCTTGCAATGGCCCGAAAAAAACCCAAACACTTTCCCACCACGCCTTGGTAACCTGCCTTGCCAGGAGGCGTAAGCGAATCCCAGGGGCGGGCGCAACACAGCAAACATCACAAACCCTTCAACACGTCCCTTGGCCTGCCTTCCGTATGCATGGTGGCAGCCCAGCAGGTGCGAAACTGTAAAAGCATTCCCTCATCCCCAAATCCTCCGTAAAGGCTTTAAAACGCTCGACCGGCGAGTCTGGCCAAGATGCCGGCCGCAGGACAGCATACTGCCGTCGCTGCAGCCAAGCAAGGTGACTTTCTGACCTGCCCGCTGATTAGGATAGGTTAGGAGGCTCCCCCTTCTACTCACAGTCCTTAATCGGGATTATAGTAAGGGGGTACTATAATCCCTATTACGGACTGTTCGCCTAAGGAGGAACATCTCATATGCTCTCCACGGAAACCTCCCTCACAGCCCAATTAGCCTACCTGCTCCTGGCCACCTGCCCAGCTGACCCTCTCGACGGCTATGCGGCTTAGGGTCTCGGAAATAGATGTGGGGTTTGAGGTTAAGGGCAACCGGATTCGCACCACAAGCTGCCAGAACCCCCCACACCCCCCCCCCCCCTCCCGACCTGCGGCCACACTGGTGTAGCTAAGCGTTCCCTCCAGCTTGGGGATGCTGCACTGCCCTCGGCGGGGACACGGATGAGGCATGGGTCTGAAGCCTGAACCCCTAAACCCTAAACCCTAAACCCTAAACCCGACATGAGATTGAGACATCTTGGGGAGTGAGTCTGCACGACCTTACAGAAGCCCTCCGCCACACCTGGCCCTAAAGCCTAAGCCCAAAACCCTATACCCGCTAGGTTTCCCACTTCGGGATCCTACAAGCTTCCGCCCGGCGGCCAAACGCATTGCTGCCCGCCGTCAAAACTCGTCCCTGGCTGGTGAGGAGCAACGTGTGGTAGCCTCCAACCTCCAACGCATTTAGGGTGTGAGGGTTTAGGGTTTTGGCTAAACCCCCAGGAGCAACGTGTGGTAGCCTCCAACCTCCAACATCTGCTTGCGAAGAAAAGTTGGGGGCTTTCCAAGTGCAGCAAAAGCCCTAAACCCTGAACCCTGAACCCTAAACCCTAAGCCCCAAACCCCAAACCCTAAACCCTAAACCTAAACCCTAGACCCCATTTTCAAGTTGAGGTGGTTTTGGACGGATTGGGGTCGGCATGAGGCTTTGTCAAGTGCCTGAAGAGGGTGGGTGGAGGGGGACAAGCCTTCGGTGTCGTGGGGAAAGTTGAGCTTTAGCACTGCTTAAGTTTAAAAACCCTCAACCCTAAACCCTGAACCCTTCACCCTAAACATCCCTAAACCCAAGGTTGCAGGATGGAGTTGGCTGGGGGGGGGGGGACTTGAAAAGGAATCAGGCAGGTTGAGTAAAGGCTTGAGCTGAGCGGTGAAGGGAGCTGGGGTTGAACACAAATTGAAGTGCCCAAGAGCTCTATTGTGTTTTTGTTGCTTTGTAGAGTTGCAGGCGAAGCTCGTCTCAAGTTTCCTGCGCAGCTGTTGTTGAATTCGACCTCCGAATGCGTTTCCTGTTTTCACTTGCTGCGCAATGCTGAAGGCAGAACATTTTGCCTCCCCTAAGTTCATCAACATTGTTCGTGCTTATGAAAAGCATAATTCGTTCTTAGGTTGAATTTTCAAGCAGCCAGTAGCTACGCTGGGTCTATAGGACAAGGGCTCCAATATTTAGTCGAGCCACGGCGGCGTCCACATAGACTTCGTCCTCAAGGAGGGGCGGAATGTTGCACTGGCCCAGGCCATTGCTCCTCAGGGAGCAAATCCCCTCATGATTCTACCAGTAGGGCTTGGGGATCTGCGCACAAAGGCCTGGCAAGCATGGTCGCCTCGATGTAAATAAAATTGGCTGCTAGTTCTTATTAGCGGTTAGCGCCTCATATCCCCCTGTCGACCCCCTATATAAGCCTCTACAGGACTGTGTGGAGAAGCTATTCCCTGAATCCCTGGCTACGAGCCAACAACTTGTACTTGTAAGCACTGCGGTTCGAAGTTAGCCACCGGCCTCAGCAGCTGGACGAAAACAGGACGCCGCACCAGCGGCAAGGCGAAGAGACCCTTCAATCCCTGACCCCTAAACGCGTTGTTGCATTTGGGGAATAAGCATGAAAAGACCTAATTTATTTCCCCAAAGACCTAGACCCCAAAGCCATTTCAAATATTTCAACCAGTCCCGTAAGCTGCAGCGCTGCCATCTGGCCGTATCACGACGACGTGGCTCTTGCCGGCACGAACCTGCTTACAAGAACGCCAGTATATCATACCCAGGAGGAGTGTGTAAGGGAGGGGGGGGTGAAGCCGGGACATGGTCTTTAGGGGGCAGGACACCACTTCGCAGTTGCTTATTACATCTTCCTGCTGGAACCGTCCGCTTGAGGCCCGTACACACCCTTCCCCTACAAACCCCTGCCGCTATGACCACTTGCCCAAAAGCTTGCCCTTCAGTTCTACGACGCTTGGAAGGCTAAGGTTAAAGTCACAATAACAAATCTTCAAGCAACACCAAGGCAGCGAAATAGTCAACACAGCAAAAGTTGATCCAGCACTTATACTAATACATCGTACCAAAGCATTGGGGCAATTCCAGCTTGAAATTGGCTGGGTTGTCGACACGAAGGCCAGTCTAGACTTTCAGGAATCAAGGGCGGAGGGAGGAGTTGAGATTTTTTGCCACCCGCCAAGCAGCCAAGCCACACTGCAGGGTAACATTTCGGGATGATTGACTAACGTTCATTACGAGGGCAATGAGTTGAAGCAGGATTGGGAGTGGAAGAGTGTCACGATGGCAGCACGGGAGGCATGCCTTGAAGTGACAAGGAAGCTCTTGGAGCAGAGCTTGAAGACTTCACTGGTTGGATCCTGGGTCCACTCGAAGAAGTGTTCAGTGTCAACACAATCGTTACCCAACGCCTTGGAAGCGTCAAGAATCAGAGACGTAGTCCAGTAGCGCTCAAGTTCAGCTGCTCAAGTTCAGCTTCTGCGCAAGCAGCAAGATCATCACTGAGGACAGCATCAAGGTATTTGAACTCGGAAGAGTCGAACCCGGAGTTGAAGTCTTTGCCATGAAGTTCAGCGGAAGCATCCAGACCATCGGGGCCAAGTGAAGCAGAGACAGCTGCAGGGTTGATGGCGACATGCGGTCGGCAAATCGCACCGTTGATTCGATCCGGACATGACAACCAGAGTAACAGATCAGGTCTCAAGAGAACAGCTGATCGATGCAGTAGAGCGCAACTTGCTCTTAGCGATGCACGACTTCGCGCTTGGTCTGGCGCTTGTCTCTGAAGACGCTGTAGTCCAAGGACCTTGTGCATCGACCTGACAGGACTGAAGTGCATCCTCAGAAGAAGGTTGCAGCCTCCTGCAGGTGACTGGTCAGAAGACTTCAAACCTCGCGAGGGGAAGACGCTGACGTCCTGGTCAGAAGTGAACCAGAGGAAGAACTTGGTGGTGTGTTCGGGCGAGGGCCTCAAGCCCAAGGAGATCCCACACTCAGGACCAAGATCGCTAATGATCTGGCGCGCTACTGATCACATCAGGTGGCCCCTTTGTCGTCATGTGTAGTGAGTATATTGAGTGGATTTAGAAATATAACGAGGTGTACGCATGAAATTCACTAAAGTACGAACGAAACAAGTGAGCGCACAAATTAAGAACTTTTTACGTGTGCATTAACAAATATACGAATTACAAAAGCTCACTTCCTTTGTTGGGTCTATTACCCCTTTACCTTTCTAGCATGTTATCAGCTTCCTTTCTTTCTTCTAGAAAAGAAGCTCACAAAATACTGGAAAGACCACCAGTGTAGCAACACATGATGTCGCAAGTAAAACCCACACAGTCTCGCGGGAATGGCTACGAGGGCTTGGGGTTTGGGCTTGAGGACCCTCCTCAAGAGGGATTGAAGCCCCGCCACCCCCCAACCCTAAACCCCAACCCCTAAACCCTAAACACTAAACCCCTAAACCCTAAACCTAGAACCAAAACTCCCCCCATCGTGAGCCTTGGAGACCGTTTCCTCGAGGAGCTCCGGCCTGAGACGTCGGGCATTCCCGAGGCTGCAGCGCGAGCTGCAGAACGAACGCCCCCAGGTTTGAGGGTTTCTATCGGTTTAGGGTTTAGGGATGTTTAGGGTTTAGGGTTTAGGGTTTAGGGTTTAGGGCTGAAGGCCTCCATCTAAACTTGGTCACATTCAGGAGCTAGTGGGCGGGTGCTCCTATTCGCTTACCCAAGCCTTCCGAGCCCGATGCCTCACACAAGCCCAATATCGCCAAACCCGCAAAACCTTCAAGCTTCAGCCCTGATACACCGCCGAAGTCCCATACTCAACTGATAATCTGGCATTGATATTTATCGTCTAGCAGTGACTAGCAACTTGTACGTACAATCTTGCAAATCTTCTAGTCTTGCATTCTTCGCTGCAATACTGAAGCTTTTTGTAAGGTTACCCTATCGCAACATTGCGCTTCCAAACAAATCACTAATCATGCTCTGAGGTCCCCCTTGGCGCCCGACGCCAGGTCGCCCTTGGCACCGACGTGCACCAAGCTCTGGTCGCTGCCCAGGAGGAGTGTGCAGCCCTCGAGGGCAGCCACCTTTTTGGGGAGGGCTTAGGACCTTAGGAAGCTTAGGAAGTCTAGGGCTATAAGGGAGGTTGCAGGACTCGGTTGACATCACCTAAATGGGCCCAAATGCCAAGCCCGAGACTTGCCTGCGTGTAGCTCGTGCCCTCCGCAGGCGCGGGGAGGTCGCACTGGCCATCTCTGTTGGTGCCGCAGGCTACGACCTGAAGGGGGGATCTGTTGAGGGCTTGAAATGCAAGGCTCGTTAGCGGAACAAAGCCCCGGGTCACGAGCTCTTGCTTGGCCCATGGACAGTATGGACGGTTAGACAACGAGCTGGTGAGTCCGAAATAGTGAAAACCTGCTTCTTGAGACAACCAAGCATCTGTGCCACTGCTCTTCAGCAGCACAATGTGCCCATATCCACAGGCTACCTGCGGTAAGGGCTGTGGAAACTGCCCCCGAACACACTCTGGGCCCTGCCCCAAAAAAGTCACCAGAAATCTGTGAAATTGGAAGTTGTATCCTGAACGCCAATCCTTAGCCAAAAGCGTCCTGAATCTCACAAAACTACCAGTAGCTTCAGAAAACCCAAAAAACTGAAAATTCCTATTTTGCCCCTAACAAGCAAGAATATGTTTTCAGGGGGGGGAGGGGGGGGAGGGAGGGGGGAGATCGGGTTCTCAAGCAACTAGAAGAAAATCCCCTTCGCCTGCGTGTAGCGCTCGCCAGGATAGAGCGGTGGGATGTTGCACTGGCCTGTGCTTTCGGCAGTGAACAGCACGCTCCAAACTTGTTAAGAATCTTGGGGTCGCCTTACAGAGATGGCCGGAAGGTCTCTCATAGAGGGATGCTGACTTGGGTCTTAGGTTGACCCTACCCCCTAAACCCTAAACCCTAAACCCTTTTTTCCTAAACCCTAAACCCTAAACCGAAGCTCGCTTTGATAGGGCTTGGTTAGATCGCCGACACCGGAGGCGCGGAAAGCGTCGACTTCTTGACGTGCAAGAAATCTAAAGACTCAACAGAAAAACACACACATGTGCATGGCACAGAGCAACACACCTACTCCATCTGCCCTATAAACCTGAAACCTTAGTACTAAATCCACAGATCCCTGCGCATCCCTAGAACTTAGGGTGCTGGGAGAGGGCTGCTGGTGATGCATCCTTTGTCGGACAAAGCACACATGAAGTGGCAGCTGGCGTCTGCTGTTCATGATTATGTATGAATATTGCATGATGGGCGTCTGTGACGTGATTCGCACCCGCTGTCCGAGAAGGGGGATACTCATGATGAAGATGCTCATGATGTGAGTGCGCAGCTGATGCTCACGATGCAGTATGCCACCGCCGGAGATATCATGACGCCAATGCCTCCAAGTGAGCAACACAATCCCAGCCCCCCTCACAGAATAAACTACCCGAAACAGCCCCAAATTCACCGCAAGCATCTTTTTTCAGAGCCTGCATAGCCTGCCACACCAAACAACATGAACTCATGCATCCAGGCGCCGTGGTAGTTACCGCCATAGGCGCGCACCCGGCCGTCGCTCAGGAGCAGAACCGTGTTGTGCTCCTCAGCGTGTGGGGGGCTGGAAGGGACTTGGGGTTCGCATGGCGCATTGTGCTGAGCGGGATCGTGATGAAAAACCCTAAACCCTAAACCCTAAACCCTAAACCCTAAACCCTAAACCCTAAACCCTAAACCCTAAACCCTAAACCCTAAACCCTAAACCCTAACCCTAAACCCTAAACCCTGGGTGTCTGCAAGGGGGCTAAGCTTTCACTTAGGAACAGCCAACCCCCGGCCTCTGAAGCGAGACCTAACCATTGAGAGGGCTTCAGGGAATTTCAGGGAAATTCTCGACTCTCATTGCACAAGTGGGTGAGGTCTCCTGGTACGAGTAAGTTTAGAGCTCAGGCTTTGGGGCGGTTTAGGGCCGCCTAGGGCCTTTAGGAGTTCTTCAGGCTTGGCTGTCAGGTGCAGCTGTAGATTCACCGTAACAACGACAAGTGTTCCGGCGCACCAAGGCAGCTTCCCTCATCAAAGGTATATAGGCTTCTCTCCAAGGTACAAGGTCTCGGGTGTCACCCTAAACCCTAAACCCTAAACCCTAAACCCATCGGGTCATCAGCTGGGCATCGGAAGCCGCCACGTCCGCGTAGGCGCAATCATCGTCGAGGCTGGGAATGTCCTGGGCTCTGCTTGCTCTTTGTTTGGGGGTTTCGGGTCTAGGTTTTAGGGTTTCAGAAATTAGGGGTACCTTATCGGGGTCCGAAAAACTAAGGGGGATCCTACTATGTGGGGACCTTTTTGGGGGGCCCGCTCACATCTCTGTTTTGGGGTTTGTAGTTGCCGGGTACCCTGGACCAGGAAAGAGTAGCCAATCAATAGGATTCTCCGCACCCCAAGAGGTTCAAGGTTACCTACTCAGCTGCGAATGTTTAGTAGGGGCCTCCGGCCCCTGAGGCGTCTAGATCCAGGTCGAGGGAACCACCCCCACCCCCCCCCCCCCCCCCCCCCCACCTCCCTCCCCACCCCCGCCCCCAACCCTCCACCCCCTCTTTCTCGCGTCTTGAACTTTCCATGCCTACAGCATCTTCCCCACTTCTCGTGAACCCTCAATTCACCTCGGTACCCTTGCCGAGGCGGCTTCGCGTTCGCGGTTAAATTACCTCAAGTTTGGCGGGCTCTGGCGGGCTCTGGCGAAAACCAGCTTCGCCTGTGTTTTTTGTTTGTTTTTTTGGGGGGGAGGGGAGAAAGAGGGTGCAACATGAAGGGTTTTCATGTGGGAATGGGAACCCCCAAGAAGGGAACCGCTTGGCATCGAGGCCTAGGATGGTATGGGTATGGGTGGTTCTCCAAATTAGGGTTCCTTTTTGGGCTCCCTCCTTAAAGGGTGCCGCCTGAAAAATTGGGTACCCAAAAAGGGACCCTAATATAGGAAACTACCCATATCATTCCGCGGAAATCCAAGGATCGCACTGCCCGCAGTGGTTCCTGCCTCAGCCAACTGGCTAAGGTGACAAACAGCGCACCACACGATCGGCTATTCGGCCTCTTGATCCCCATAACTACTCAACCCTTTAAAGGGCCTTTTTGAGGGGTCACAGGGTATTATAGCCCATCCTGGTATCTTACAGTATTACATTCTTGCATGGAGAAAAGCCTGGGAGATGGTGGAATCAAGATCCAGGCCCTGCTCAACTGATAAACTTGAGATCCTGCGAAGATTGCGGACAGTATCTTAATATTCAAAATTCAACAATGATGATGATAATGATACTGATAATGATAATGAGAATGATAATGATAATGATGATGATAATGATGATGATGATGATGATGATGATGATGAAAAAGACAATCATACTGGCAAAAGTACTACGAGTAGCACTAATAATTATGAAGCCTCTTATGCCGTCTGTGAAAGCCTTTCAGGTTCTTGCTGGCTGTGCCACAACCCCTAAACCCTAGGTCTGCCGGGTTTCACGGCTATACCCTAAACCCTAAACCGAACCCTAAACTTTCCTAAACCCTGAAGCCCTAAACCCTAAACCCCCTGAGTTGCCAAAGCTGCAAAGCAACATCGCACATCCCGCAACACCCTCAGAGCCGCCGTCACCATCCACAAGCCGGTCCATGCATGCGCTTGAGGGCGCTTAGGATTTAGGGTTTAGGGTTGATGGACCCGAAGACAACTTTAAGAGCCCTGTACCATGCAGCCCTAAGTCTGTATAAGCCCTGCAAATGGCTCAGCCGTGTTTCCGACGGACACCGCAGAACCCCCGGCCCGGATCAGGATGGTGTGGTCACCTTACGAGTTTCTCGCGGTTTAGGGTTTAGGGTTTAGGGTTTAGGGTTTAGGGTTTAGGGTTTAGGGTTTAGGGTTTAGGGTTTAGGGTTTAGGGTTTAAGGTTTAAGGTTTAGGGTTTGTGGTTTTTGGCTTTCGGGGCTCTCTGACTCTTTTCCTGTACATGTGGCTTCGACAGCCTCGAGATCAGATGTCACGCGGTATGACCCTCGCACACTGCCAATGTTTCTCAGTCTTCAACCCTAGTAACCTTCTGGACAAACCCCAAACCCTTGCAAACCCCAAACCATTGCAAACCCCAACCCTAAAGCCCGAAGCCCAGAGCCCTGAACCCGAAGTCCCCAAACCCGAAGCCCTTCCCTGCACCGAATCTACGCGCCGAGCCACAACTTGCCAGCACCTGGGACCAAGGGAAAGAAGCAGGGTTTAAAGAGCTTTAGAGTTTAGGGTTTAGGGTTTAGGGTTTAGGGTTTAGGGTTCTTCGGCGTGTCACCTGCAGGAAGGTAGGTTCGCTGGGCATGCCAGGAGAATCTGCGCACGAAAAAGGAAAACCAGCACACTGTACCTGCTGCCAGCAAAGGACAACCGCAACAAGCAGTCTCTCGGGTCTGTCCGTGACATGGCACGAGCTGCACCGGACTGAACTTCCGGAATCCCCTAGATTAGTTCGAGAGCCGATTAAGACCTACAACCCGACCATGCGACGCTGCATCCATGGAGGTTCTGTCTCTACCAAGTGCCAAGCGGCCTGAAGGTAAGGATCTTCTGCCAGGGGTGGTGGAAGGTCACACTGCCCATAGTTGTTCCTGGGAAGGATCGCCAGTGGGAGGCTTCAGCAGGGCTTCGTTTGGGGCTGCCATGGCTTGTGAGGTTTTGACGTTTTGACACCCGCCCCCTCTCGTGTGAAATCAACCTGTATCTTCTCTCAGGCCAAGCGAACCAGCATGCCCCCTACTTGTGGCTGGAGGTTGCGCGGTTGTGTGCTGCTTAGCCCTCTCCCAACCCAAGCCCTAAACCCGAAGTTGGCCCTGACAATTGCGTGCTCAGCAGCAAGCCGACAGCAACCACCCGGCCATCACTCCGAAGAAGCGCTGCATGTTGGGCACCCACGGACACTTGCACGTATGCCTGTGGCAGGGCTCCCAAATCCACGATGGGACGGACTGAACCCACTTGAAGCACACATAGCGCACACACACACACACCCACGCACGCACGCGCACACACACACACACACATACCTTCCTAAACCCTCAACCCTAACCGCCCTAACCGACCTTTTTAAAGCCCTGCTGAGGTCACAAACCCTCTCTCTGACATCCTACGGATCAGGAAAAACTTGCCAAAGGCAGGATGGGGTTCCAGCCCCGGTCCAGCATCCGGAATATCCAGGCCCACGCGCTTGCCCTGGGGCCAAAGAGGAAGGATGCGTCAGGGTTGGGGCTGGGTGTTGTATGGTGATATGCCTGACTGTCTGCCTGGTCGGTTCGGGTCTCTCTGCCTCTCTGTCTGTCTTTCTCTCTGTCTGCCTGCCTCCCTGTCTCTCTCTGTCTCTGTCTGTGTACCTGCCTGTCTGTCTGTCCGCCTGGCCGTCTGTCTGTCTGTTCGTGTGTCTTTGTGTGTCTTTGTCTGTCTTTGTGGGTGTCGTTGTGCGTGTCTTTGTGCGAGTCTTCGTGCGAGTCTTTGTGGGTGTCTTTGTGCGTGTCTTTGTGCCTTTGTGCCTTTGTGCCTCTGTGTCTTCGTGTCTTTGTCTCTCTGTCTCTCTGTGTCTCTCTGTGTCTTTCTGCGTCTCTTTGTGTCTCTCCGTGTGTCTCTGTGTGTCTCTGTGTGTCTCTGTGTGTCTCTGTGTGTCTCTGTGTGTCTCTGTGTGTCTCTGTGTGTCTCTGTGTGTCTCTGTGTGTCTCTGTGCGTCTCTGTGCGTCTCTGTGTCTCTCTGTGTCTCTCTGTGTCTCTTGTGTCTCTCTGTGTCTCTTGTGCCTCTCTGTCTCTGTCTCTGTCTCTGTCTCTGTCTCTGTCTCTGTCTCTGTCTCTGTCTCTGTCTCTGTCTCTGTCTCTGTCTCTGTCTCTGTCTCTGTCTCTGTCTCTGTCTCTGTCTCTGTCTCTGTCTCTGTCTCTGTGTGTGTCTTTGTTTGTCTTTGTGTGTCTGTGTGTGTCTTTGTGTGTCTCTGTGTGCCTTTGTGTGCCTTTGTGTGTCTTTGTGTGCCTTTGTGTGCCTTTGTGTGCCTTTGTGTGTCTTTGTGTGTCTTTGTGTGCCTTTGTGTGTCTTTGTGTGTCTTTGTGTGTGTCTTTGTGTGTCTTTGTGTGTCTTTGTGTGTCTTTGTGTGTCTTTGTGTGTCTTTGTGTGCCTTTGTGTGTCTTTGTGTGTCTTTGTGTGTCTTTGTGTGTCTTTGTGTGTCTTTGTGTGTCTTTGTGTGTCTTTGTGTGTCTTTGTGTGTCTTTGTGTGTCTTTGTGTGTGTGTGTGTGTCTTTGTGTGTCTCCGTGTGTGTATGTGTGTGTGTGTGTGTGTCTTTGTGTGTCTCTGTGTGTGTATGTGTGTGTGTGATTGTCGTTGTGTTAGTCTTTGTGCTTGTGTTTGTGCTTGTGCTTGTGCTTGTGCGCTGGCGCTGGTGCGCTGGTGCTGCTGGTGCTCGTGCGCGGTGCGCGGTGCGCGGTGCGCGGTGCGCGGTGCGCGGTGCGCGGTGTGGGGTGTGGGGTGTGTTGTGTGGTGTGTTGTGTGGTGTGGTGTCCGTGGTGTGGTGTGGTGTGGTGAGGTGTGGTGTGGTGTGGTGTGGTGCGGTGTGGTGTGTTGTGTTGTGTTGTGTTGTGTGTGTGTTTGTTTTGTGTGTGTGGGTGTGTGTTTTGTGTGTGTGGGTGTGTTTTGTGTGTGTGTGTGTGTCTGTGTGTGTGTGTGTCTTTGTTCTCGTGTGTGTCTCTTTGTGTGTGTGTGTGTGTGTCTCTTGGTGTCTCTTGGTGTGTGTGTGTGTGTGGGTCTTTGTGTGTGTGTGTGTGTCTTTGTGTGTGTGTGTGTGTGTGTGTGTTCTTTTTGTGTGTGTGTGTCTTTTGTGTGTGTGTGTGTCTTTGTGTTGTGTGTGTGTGTGTCTTTGTGTTGTGTGTGTCTTTTGTGTGTGTTGTGTGTGCGCCTTATGTGTTGTGTGTGTGTTCCTTTGTGTTGTGTTTTTCTTTGTGTGTGTGTGTGTGTGTGTGTGTGTCTTTGTGTGTGTGTGTGTCTTTGTGTCTTTGTGTGTGTGTATGTGTCTTTGTGTGTGTGTGTGTGTGTGTGTGTCTTTGTGTGTGTGTGTATGTGTCTTTGTGTGTGTGTGTGTGTCTTTGTGTGTGTGTGTGTGTGTCTGTGTGTGTGTGTGTGTGTGTCTCTGTGTGTGTGTGTGTCTGTGTGTGTCTCTGTCTGTGTGTGTGTCTCTGTGTGTCTCTGTGTGTCTCTGTGTGTCTCTGTCTGTGTGTGTCTCTGTTGTGTCTCTGTGTGTGTCTGTGTGTGTCTGTGTGTGTGTGTGTGTGTGTGTGTGTGTGTCTTTGTTTGTGTGTGGTGTCCTTGTTTGTGTGTGTGTGTGTGTGTCTTTGTGTGGTGTGTGTTCTTGTGTGTTGTCTTTGTGTGTGTGTGGTGTGGTCTTTGTGTGTGTGTGTGTGTCTTTGTGTGTTTTGTGGTGTGTGGTGGTCCTTTTGTGGTGGTGTGGGTGCTTTGTTCTTTGTGTGGTGTATGTGTCTTTGTGTGTGTGTGTGTGTTGTGTGTGTCTTTGTGTGTGTGTGTTTTGTCCTTTGTGTGTGTGTGTTTGTTTTGTGTGTGGTGTGTGTGGTGTCCTTTGTGTGTGTGGTGTGTGTGTCTTTGTGTGTGGTGTGTGTCTTTGTGTTGTGTTGTGTTTGTCTTTGTGGTGTGTGTGTGTCTTTTGTGTGTGTGTGTGTGTCTTGTGTGTGTGTGTGTGTCTTTGTGGTGTGTGTGTGTCCCTTGTGTTTGTGTGTGTGTCTTTTTGTGTGTGGTTGTGTTTTGTGTTGTGTGTGTCTTTGTGTGTGTGTGTGTGTGTGTGTGTGTCTTTGTGTGTGTGTGTGTCTTTGTGTGTGTGTGTGTCTTTGTGTGTGTGTGTGTGTGTCTTTGTTTGTGTGTCTTTGTGTGTGTGTGTGTGTGTGTCTTTGTTTGTGTGTCTTTGTTTGTGTGTCTTTGTCTGTGTCTGTGTCTGTGTCTGTGTCTGTGTCTGTGTCTGTGTCTGTGTCTGTGTGTGTGATTTTATAGGCTTGGATCATTCTCGTCCAAGAGGCACCCTCTTGAATGCTCCCGCATGCCACGGCCACCCCATCAGTACGAAGGAGCAGTGAGAGACGGTCTCCAGCGGCCACCTGGTGGCGACTGCTAATTAACGGGGCATGGGCTTTCCTACATCATCGGCCTCTGGGCCTGACAAAACCCCCATAAGCGCCCAAAAAATCCAGAACATCGAACGCTTTGTGGAGGGATGCTGCACACAAAACCCCTTGGCAAGCAAAGCGCATCCCAAGTGACTTGGTGCATTGAGGGTTTGCACTCTATAGGGTCCCGCCGATCCTTCCCGAATGTCAGACCAGAACCCCTGGCCCACACGGCACCTGCTTGTACCGCACTCCTTCAGGGAGCGGTGGAACCTTGCCTGCAGCTCAGGCATTTGTGCTTACAGGGTTGGGATGCTTTTTCTCTTTCAAGGGGTGCGGGGCTGGCTCAGGGGCCACAGAGACCTATTCCAACATTGCATATTCGCAGCCGAAAGAACATGGTTACTTTTTACCTAGAGCATGACGCCACAACAGTATTTGGCCCCCAGCGGCAGGCTGCATCGTGCTGCGGCCCACTGCTCACAACTTCGCCAGAGTCCAGAAGCAACAGCGTGTGTATGTCTCCTGGCTACTTGGAGGTTCATGGGTACTTATAAGTAGGGTATAGTAGGGTTATAGCTACCCTAAGCGGGGCTATAAGTATAGTTGCCATACTTTTCAACCCTACTTATACCTACCCATGAACGCCGTGTGCTGCCCTTAAACTCCCGTAGGGAAACTCAGAACCCCTTCGCAACTTCAGCCCCACCCACCCACCCACCCACAGTGTCCTGCCGCCACTTGCACATAACGCCGGCCCTCTTCGGGGTCGCAGATGATGACCTTGGCTCGCGCGCATCTCCCTCACATGGCAGTTCGTGGTATCGGACTTGGGATGAAGGGCGGCCACCCTAAACCCTAAACCCTAAACCCTAAACCCTAAAACCCTAAACCCTAAACCCTAAACCGATGGCAAGGGCACGACAAGGACCTTGGGCCAAGTGGCACAGGCCCGACATCGGTCGTTGTCGTCGAGGAAGCCCTCCTTTTCGGGTTTAGGGTTTAGGGTTTAGGGTTTAGGATTTAGGGTTTAGGGTTTGCTTAAGAACCCCGAAAAAGTAAAAAACAAAAACCCCTATATTAACCTTAATAAGGAAGAATATTTCTTAGCGAACCCCTATATTAACCTTAGTAAGGAAGAATATTTTTTTAGGTGAACATCGTGAACGACACAAGCAACCTATTTTCTGGGTCATGAAGCTAAGACTTGTAGTATTACGGGGGGCACTATAGAGAACTATAATTAAATCCCCAGGTAAAAATAATGTAATTTATGAGCCCCTATTGAATATACTTTACGGGGCTCTGCATCATCTATTATTTGTTCATACGGGCACGAAATAGAAGAAACTAATGTGCTCGTATTTCGTTCGCTAATTCACTAATTTCATGCGCTTTACTTCGTTTCGTTTATAAATTAGTTCATACGCTCTCTACTTCTCTCTTATTAAATTACCTCGCATTGTATTCGTCGTTTATTACGCGGGAACAGTAATAATATAATGAGTGCAGCGAACAAGATTAATAAAATGCTGCACGTTGCGTTCTCTTGTTCCTTTCTCTCGCTTCTTTCATTCCTGGGCGCTTTTCGTGCGTCCATAAACTCCTTATGCAAAATACGCCCAGTTCATTCTCTTCGTAGTAAATTTATCCTTTTTCTGGGTTCTTAAGCAATTAGTAGTTTTCTTGCATGTATTGGCATTCCAGGCCTGCAATTTGAAAGCACTACCCCTGAAGACGGAAAGCCCTCATCTCAAACCATTAGGTCATCCCCCACATACGCCCTGGTTCCTAAACACCCCCCGGCTCTTGCCAATTTAAGATATCATGAACGTACCTCTCGTTATACGTATAGTGTCATATAGTTACGTACACAATTCCCCCTGAAAAGGGGGGGGTGGGGGGGGGGTGGGGGGGTGGGGGTGGGAGGGGGGTACGTTCGAGAAACCTGAGATGTTTGATGGACGTCCCCCCTCTTGCTTTCCGAAAAAATGGGCGCGCGGGACTCTTGCTGGTTTAGGCGTTAGGGTGTGTCACGTGCCCCGCGCATGATACACCGCGAAAGCAAAGGCTATAGGAAACAAATGCTTTTTGGGAGGCCCGGTGTCGATGTATCATGGTCATTCCTTTCATCTGCCCCCCCCCCCCCCCCCCCGTGCGGAGAAACCGATAGGAAATAGGATATCTTTACCTTACGTGGTATCGTGGTGCATGCGTCACGCGTCTACCGATTGGGCGGACAACGGGGATGCCCACTCAGATTTTAAGCTCATGTAGAAAGTGCGTTTCTGCGGCTGAGCTATTGCCCCGTGGAGCGCGTATGAGCTGGCATTCGGAGCAGGGTGGGAGCCTTTATTTGATAGAAACAGGTGATACCAAGTGCTGACAACAGATGGGCACTCAAAGTGGACGGCTTGACTGTCTGCCACGCGGGAAAGCCTCCACGGGAGAAAAGCTTCCACGCGCTACACGCTACCGCAATGAGCCACGCGCTACGGAAATGAGAAACAGATGTCTGAAACAAAAGCCGACACGAAAAACACAAAACAACGAAGCCTTGAGCAACCCATGCTTACCTTCTCGCAAAAGGAGACTCAGGTCAAGCCAAGCCCCATTTAAACACCCAAGAATCCCCAAAGTCAGGGTTTAGGGTTTAGGGTTTAGGGTTTAGGGTTTAGGGTTTAGGGTTTAGGGTTTAGGGTTTAGGGTTAGGGTACTCTGAGAGCCCCCCCCAGTGCGGGCGGAGCATCGTCAACTGCGAAGGCCTTGCCGTCGCTGCGCAGCAGGACGACGTGATGGAAGCCAGCAGCCACCTCTGGGGGCTTTTGGAAGGAGGTTAGGGTTTAGGGTTTGGGGTTTAGGGTTTAGGGTTTAGGGTTTGGGGTTTAGGGTTTCGACTCTCACACTGGCATAAGCGGGCGAGGCAAGTCCTGTCGAGATCTCCAGAGTGGGTGCATTGACCACCAGTAACGAACCAACCAGGGTCAGCATTACCACCGACGAATGTTCAATGCCAAGCCCCAATACTGAAGAGCTGACCCCTGGTCGATCCCAGACAAATAGAAAACAAATTGGTACATGTCCATTGGCCGACAGAAGTTCTTTGACCCAGTCGGCGTGTCCAACAGAGGGGCTCAAACCATGATAGCTAACAGTATACCTCGATCACCTTTCCACCTTGAAACAAGCCTCCCCCATCAGACCCGACTGACTATTCCTAGGCACATTGCGACCTAGCGACAATACGTGGAGGTTGCCGCAAACCGTCCAAAGATCAGGTATGAATACTATCTCCAGAACAGTACAACCCGAGCGGCCTTTCCTCCCTGAAAGCAACATGTGGCAAGGGCTATGTGGGTGAGACTTCTCTCTATCCTCAGCATTCGATGTCCCGAGCAGTGACTGCCGTCTGTGGCTATACGCACTCGACAACGTACATCTGTCTCTGTCATCCCCGGGCGTCAGGAGGCGCAACTTGGCAGGTGGTGGCCATGCACACGGTCCATGCAGAGTGCACGTGCGTGGGACTGTCAGCTCCGAGGTCGTGCAGAACCCAAGCTTCACTCAACATGCAGTTTTGCATCCATCAGTTTCCAGGGCCTTCACTGCTGAATTCACAAATTCTGAATTCATGAATTCCTTCTCTGCTTCGTACCAGCGGTCATGCATCTGGCAGTTGCAGGCACCATGCAGACGCAGGGTCCCCATCTGCCACCCTCCGCGGCGACCCAACTCCATGCAGTGCAGTGGTATTCGTCATGCAGTCACTCCGTGTCGCCGGGCGGCCAAAGCGGTCCGGCCGCACGCAGGCACAAGGCTGCCACATGGCAGCAAAACTTGAACATCTCGCTGTGTCCCCTGGCAGCCCAAACATCGTGCTGCTGTATTGGGGATGCCAGCCGCCATTGCAGTCCCACCCACATGCCAAACTCGCGAGCTCCAAGGTTCCCAGCTCAGGCCAGCGTCACATCGCGTCGAGAGGCCATGGCTCAGGATGCACCGAGGTGCCGTAGACTGTTAGCGGGGTTGTTACAAGTAAGGGGGGGGGGACAGGTAGGGGACGCCTACAGATCTAGCACACTGAAGCGGACCTGAGTGCACGCTCGCGCGTGTGGGGGGCGCGCTTGTGTGTGTGTGCGTAGCTAACGAGGCGTGTTCAGCAGGCCGGCCCCTCCGTCGGGCCATCCTCCTTGATCACCCCTCGCCTCTCTCCCCCTACCCCTGCGCGACCCTCGACCGTCGCGCGAGCCTCATGCGACCACCCCACAGCCCGAAGGTTTTCCTCATTGATGCGGCGACGAATGGATTGAGAACGATTGATATCCTCCATACGGTATGCGAGAGTGGCCTTGGCGATGCGTTTGGCTTCGGTACGAGATTCCACCCACGGTCCTACGAAACGGTTTGCGAGCCGCTCATACGACGACCTTGCGTCTCTCCCCTGCATGTCCCCAGGCAAGGCGGTGGGTTTGGCGGGCTCTCTGGCGGTGCCTGTACTCCAAACTGCAACGTGTTGCTTGCACTGTGGGGCGTGACGTTCCGAGCTGCTCAAGGGCCAGGCGGATTCGGACTCTGAGCGTCTCTGCTGACGCACGCATGAAGAACACACATGAAGAGCACAGCACGACTGCACGATAGCTCCCTCAAATCTCGCAACGAAACAGACGGTCCCAGTTGGTGCGCCTGCGAGAATGCCGGCATGCATCTTTGACCAAGTGTGAGAACAACTACGTGCCCGTGCAATCATGAGGAACACATGGAGAACACAGCATGTATGCGCAACAGCTCCCCTAAATCCCACAACGAGACAACCAGTTCCCATTATTGCTCCTGCGAGAATGCCGGCGTGCATCTGCGACAGAGTGTGAGAAACAGCTACGTGCGCATGCAAGTCATGCAGGTCCCGTGCGCCTGGGGCAAATCGGCACAGCATCTATTCCGAGGAGTGGAAGCTAAAACAGCTTTGACGACTCCGTGCCCATGCCAATCATGCAGGTCCAGTGCGCCCGGGGCAGTTCTGGCATAGCGTGCATTCCATGCAGTCAATTCTTGGGGGGGGGGGGTGGCTACTTGGGAGGACGAGGCTTGAGGGCAGAGGTAACATGTACGGGCTAGGGGCGGGGGGGGGGGGGGGGGGGGGGGTCGGGGCGGGGCGTGCCGGAATTCCATGCATCGAATTCCTGGTCGTGTGAATTCAGCTGTTCTCAACATCCACGGCCGGTTCCGGAGGTCTAGGACGGCACCACCAAGCGCGTGAGGGCTGCGGCGTCGAGCGTCATCTGGCCTCCCCCGGGGAGGACCACTAGGGCAGCCCCTCCCCGGTAGGACGGCGTCGGCATGGCCACCGTGTCTGACAAGTTGATGATGGGGGGCTGCGCGGGACCTGGTCCTCCCGCCCCCGCCCCCGGTTGTGTCTGCGGGGGAGAGCGGTAAAGCACCGGTCCCGAAGGGCGCGGGGCCGGTCCTGCTGCCTGCGCCGGACCATCCTCGCACTTGTCCAGGAGGGCCTGTATCTGCTCGGACTGCTTGGTCTGGCTTTCCTGGAGCGCCCACGTCATGTCACAGACCTGGGCCAGCACCTTCTTGATGTGCGCGATGTTCTCGTGACTCTCCCGGGCAGCGGCCGTGTCGCAGCCTTCCCACAGCTTTGCGAGATCCGTAGTCAGGCCATCCACCACTGCCGTCACCACGCCGAACTTTTGCTGGAGGCTTTCCATCGAAGCGCACAGGACGGCGGTCTGGGACTTGAGCACCTCCAGACCAGCAGTAGTCGTACCGAGGTCCGTTTTGACCGCGAGGAGGTCGGCCTTGACCCCTTTATGCAGCGCCGCGAGCTGGGCGTCCATCTTCTGGATTGCCGCTGCTGGGTCTTTGATGTCCTGCACACGGCCTTCTACCCGCTCCACGAGGTTCCACATCTCCTTGATTTTGTCGAGCAGGTTGCCAGCGGCGGTGCGCGCTTCGCGTTGGTCTTGTGCCCGGTTGCTGTCGGCGGTCAGGAGGAGGTCCATGACGGTGCTGACTTTGCCAAACATCTTGTCCGTGCGTTCCATGAGTGCTCGGAGTTGGTCCGATACAGGGTCGTCCAAGGTGGCGTCGGGGGCAGCCGCGCCAGTGTCAGGCTCGCTGGCGCCAGGATCCACTCGACCACGACGTCGAGACACCCCCACCAGAGCCGCCAGCAGCCCCGTCATCAAGAGGCCGCCCACCAGCCACTGCCACTGCGTGTCGTCCACGATGCTCACCCAGAGGTCGTGGAGCTGGCTCGCCGCGGCCAGCACATCGTCCTGCGCCCCGCCGGTCTGGGTCGGCGTCGTCTGCTCCGCCATCCGGGGCTCCTGGCTCAGCGCCGCCATTGCCATTTCGAAAATGCAAGGCACCAAAGGGGTTACAGAAATGCTGAGAGCACGAGGGCTTCAGGGCTGCGGGCGGGGCTGAGCATGTGTCTGTCCATGCATGGGGTGTCAAAGTGCAGACAGCCAACGACGATGGATGCACAAGAGAAACAAAGCAAGCATGGGAGGGGGAATGGGGGGGGGGGGGAGGGGGCGCTTTGCACTCTTGCTATCCCCGGCGGCCCGGTCTGGCGGCCCGGTCTGGCCAGCGCGGCGTCTTACACACCACTCGTGCCAACGTTGTACAGAGTCGCTCGGGAGCCCGAACTATGTGGACTCCCAGCGAGAGAGATCCTTGTCTTTCCTGTTTGCGGGAGGGGAGCCACCAAACTATGCACATGCACATGCAAGACAGAAACAGAAACTAGTCATGCTCACGCAGATGAATTCCCTGCACATGCTAACCAATTCACTTCACATTCAAACTAATTCACTCAATGTCCTTGCGACGGCGGGGGCTCAGATCGTGCCGGGCATGCGTGTCAGCCTAGTCGATGTAGTAGACGTCGGGCCCACAACCATGTCGGAGCTTCCCTACTGGCCATTTCGGGGCGGAACAAGGTAGAGCCTGTTGAACCTGCGTCCCATGCGGTGTCCACCGAGACAGCATCGCCCGTCGCTCCTGTTCTTCATCCGGGAACAGAAAGCCCAACTGCTGGAGGTAGGCTCGATCTTGCAGCTGAAGCGTTCTGAACCCCGCCAGGTGGAAGCCCACGAGGAGGACCCGGGACCCCTGCCAGGGCTCCGTGGCATGCAGAAGGCTGCGCGCGCTGAGTCTGGTGGGCCCGCGCAAGGGCGCAACTGCTCCCAGGACCCGTCGTCCACGGAAGATGCGTGTCTCCAATCCGGTGGGGGATTCCACCCAAATTCCACCCCCAACAAACTGCGTAAGCGGGAGGAGCAGGCTAGGCAACCAAGAGTTCTGTTGGTCTCGATGTGGGGCAGCACAAACGTCGAAATTGACCACCAGAGTGGTGAAGGTGTCCCCCGGGAAGTGGTGACGCAGAACTCGCGTCAGCAGCCGTGTCAGCGTGGGGTACACACGCGAGAGCGCACGTACCCCTGCGCGAACGTGCACATAGGCGCCGAAGCTGAGGGATCCGCCTTGCTCACCCCTGACCGGGGCGTCGACATCGAGGTACCGGAGCGCCTCCACCACTTTCTCCAAATGCGGGGCCGCATGGTCCTGCAGGAGGGCACCTGCTGCCAACTCCGCCGCAGGCCCATCAGCGTCCGCGGCATCGCTGTCACTGTCGACTTGCACAGGGAGCTCGGCCGCGCCGGGCGCGTCCTCATCCGCAGTGTCCAGCAGCGTAGGCGGCGGACATGACATGGCTGCCCTAGCTGCTCTACCGCGGACGCGTCTATTTCCGGGCTGTCCCGCCCCCCCCCCCCCCTCCTTAGAAGAACTGCGCAGT